CGTTGTCACCATCCCATACAGTTAGGGCCCATTCTCTTTCTCTGAATTTGCTTTGAAGTCATCCAGTAGAGCATTTGATCCTGTAATTATAGCAGCTGGTATAGAAGAGACATAACAAATTGAAGTTGATAGTCTTCTAGCCTGGGGCAGGTGGTTACTGTTTTCTTACACCTGGTTTGAGGTCTCTAGAGGATGCTACTGATATTACAACTTTATCTTCATGTTTTACAAGTTTTATAATGAAAAGTATAGATCTACTCACAAAACATGTTTACTAAAACATGGAACACAGAGAACAAGATTTTATCCACTTCACAGCTTTATTCATGAAAAAATATAGATCTGCTTTGCTAACATGATGTGAATTAAAACATAGGACATACAGAATCAGATTTTATCCACTTACTTCACACCTGAGGAATATGGATCTGCTTTAATCACACATGGTGTATTCTTACAGAATGTGCTTTGTACTCTTCCATGCAAGCACTTGAAGTTAAGTTCAATGCAAACATGACAGATGTGAATGCTATGATAGTAGTTTTAACATCCCTGGAACAATGGGCATCAATATTTCAAAACAGTGGAACATACAGCTTGATATATCTCAAGCACCAGGTTTATCATTTGCAGCATGAATTTGTGCCTTAAGCCGATTTTAAGTTTGTCATCTGAGATGCTTTTCGGAAGTGATTTTCTCTCTTCATTTAGTATATTCTCTTCCTTTGGGATATGTCCCACAACAACAAAAAAAGCAGTAGTATGATACTTGACATCGATTACCCTGGCTAGTGTTACATTGCCAACGGCACAACACCTGTGAGGAACTGATGTCACACTTTCTTTTGGAGTATTCCTGATTTATTGAGTCACAGTTCAGAAATGGATGAACTCTACTATTCTTTCATGTGGTTATTCAAACTAAAGGACCACGAGGCTACTTTTTCAGTCAATTTTTCTTTTTTTATCATATCTTACGGGAAGAAAGTATGAAGTATGAAATTTACAACTGCAGACTGGAGGGTCTGTGGAGTGGGGATGGTTTCTCACATACGGGGTGCATTGCAATTTAGAAATTAATCTCGCCTGAGCATCTGAAGTGTAATTAAAAGTAATTGGAGAGTCATTATTTCTGTATTTCATTTTTTGATGAATGGGTGATTGACAAGTAGTTGCCAATTATGGAAGCATTACAAAAAGAAAAAGATATAATAGATAAGAAAAAAAATGAGTATTTCTTTTAATAATAAGATACATGCTTAAAGAAATCATCTTCATTCCAAAGGGTGCAATACCAGCTCCGAAGTGCATTGTTTTTCCTAAACACTTAAGGCCTTTTTCCAGTCAAGAAAAGTTAACCTAAGTTTGTATACTCTATACAAGCAGTCTGCAAGATTAACTTACCATTGGGAGCCAATCTAATCCTTCTGTTGCCCCTCCCAATGTCTTTGTAATCATAATAGGTTGCATTAGTTGGCCTTCCTATGGTTAGAAATTGCTGATATACACTGATGAAAAAAGTCTGTGTCAGAATGATTTGAACCTCAGCATGGCAGATTAAAGTTATGATGTGCAAATACAAGCTACTATACAAGTTTCTCCAAGTATGAAAACTCAGCAGATTAAAGTTATGATGTGCAAATACAAGCTACTATACAAGTTTCTCCAAGTATGAAAACTCAGCTGTGCTTAGAATTAGATTAATTATCTTGTAGATAATTATTGGATCCAGAATGATTTTTTAAGAGTTTTGTCAATCTTATATCTAAGTGTATGCTGACTTCAAGTTGGTTTAAGTTCTTTATCCGACCTCCGATTAAATTAATGCAAATAATGCAAATAATGAATTCATTGCATGCCTGTGTGAATTATTGTCATCTACAGGAAAAAATACAAACCTCATCCAAACAAAAGAAACACGGAGATTGGTTTTAACAAAAGAAAAAACATGAAATTGAATAAAACCCCCAAAAGCCACTTCATTTTATCATTGCTATCCCTGTGTTATCTTTCTGTAATCTCATTCATCAGGCCTGCTGCTCAGCTAATAACAAGAGGATGGTTTGATGGGGGTTACAATCAAATTTCTATTTTCTAAAGTAAGGGCAAGATGTTTTTGTTTGAATTGATGTGTGCATAGTTTTTATCATTAAACAAAACTTCAAAGCTTATCCGTATTCCATGCTTAATAGAAAATAACAACATAGTTAATAATTGAGTGTAATACCTTCATTGCAGTAGTCGCTGAATGATTTCATTTTTACTTGCTTTAGTGCAACCTACTTGGTGCAACATTGCTGCACTAAGTAGAGATGAATCACTTGTTTCTCATATAGATTTAGCCCTTGAGACCTTAATAAAAGACATGAGAATGAACCATTATTTCTTTTTTTAATTCTCTGGAGTATGCTAATGAGGAATTTTATATATTTGTGGAAATGTCAGCAGGAGTGATGTGTATGTAAGGAAAAAAGTAAAGCTGGGAAGCATCCATCCTTTATTAGGTTAGTGGTCCAAAGATTTTACAAGATATGAGTCTGCTTTTGAATTTTATGTAAAAAAGCATAAACATACAATTTTGTGAACATGATCTTTTCTGTTTTTTCTGCTTTATTAGATCAAAAATACGTTTTAAGATATTCCAACCTTTCAAACCATGGATACTCTAGATTGTGTGTAAATGCATTTGTATTTTAAATAGATGTTATACTATGTATGAAGCTTTGCACTAACCATTTCAAAATGTAAGAAAAAGCTGAGCTTTTATCAAGACTCCCATTTTCAACATTGAATGTGTAGATTTTCCATCTATTGGATAAAATAGGTTATTTGCCTAAGTAGCCAGGTATAGGATAAGATTTTGTACAAGGAGTAGCACGTTTTGAACCAATATGTCTGTAATCCTTGTGTACACCTATTAGTTAAGCATCAAGAGATTTGTTATTCTGTCCTTTGATGTCAATGAAGGTTTATTCAGGTGACGGCCTAATGAACCAAGCTCATTGAAAATCAAGGGAGGTTTCCATGATTTCAGACTTTGCTTTTAATTAAGCCAGGATCAGAATTCTGTTAGTTAACAATTTTTCCTAAGTATATAAATATTTCTTTAATTGGCACTCTAATTGCCCTAAGCACCAACTGCAGTGGTAAACAGTGGCTTTCCTTTTGATAATTGTACCACCAGCGTTAGCGCTGGCGGTACACATGGTTTCGGTCTCGTCCGGATCGTTCCGCCGGCTCCGCCGGCTCCGCCGGACGGCTACCGTTACCGCTTCTCCTCCTAGACGGTAAGGCCCCCCATACCCATCTCATGGATTTAGGTCACCTATAATCTCAACTCGTTCCACGTAAAATTTGGGCTTTGTCGGTATTGGGGTCTGGGTGTGGCACTCATTGCAATGCACCCTTGTCCAAAAATGGCAAAATTAAATGCTAATTATCTACCCTACAGGAAGGAGTTACGGGAAAAANTTTTTCATTAATTTATGAATGGAACTTTAATATGCACTCTCATTAACCTAAGTACAGACTGTATTAATAAGCAGTGGCATTAAGTTTGACAAATGTCTGCCATTTATCCTTTGATGTTCCCTGTAGTTGACACAGGTGGAACCCTGGTGACAGGTGCATTAACTGTAAATATAGAGGATAACAACACAAGTCATCATATTCATAATTCCAAAACTTTAAACAATTTTTAGACTGTTCATAATAGCTTCTTAAATGCATCTTTTTTGGCATCTCTTTTGAACAACTTTTTTTGCTCAGTTTGACAAAGGGCATTATGATATGTCTGCTGGATCCCTTGCCATGTCTGATTATCATTTTTTTTCTCCTAAGGTCTTTTAAGAAAGTGGCTGTCTATTGTAAATATAATATGTGAAGGATAATTTTGCACTAAGTGTTCTGAGCCATAGTTAGTCTGTTATTGATACCAGAGTAAAACCACATTTAGACACTCTTAAAAGCACTTTAGTCACAGACACACCTTACAACAAATTGCACATTTTGAAGCAGATTCAGTGATTTTATTCACCTTCATATTCATGTCACCAAAGGTTGTCCCAGGTTCTATTGGCTGGCTTAATCCCTACACCTTAGACAACTCAGTTGTCACTGTTTTGAATTCGGAAAATCAATTCGAATTCAATGGCGGAAACACAGGGGTATTGTATCGAGTGTTCCGTATAGTAATAAGCAATGATCTGTCAATGAATTTTCATGCCACATTAGGTGAATAGAGTGATATCCAATTTTTTGTACCCAAAATTACCATGAGAAAGAGCAAGGGGTGTCATACAACAAGAAAACCCTCCTTACGGCCTTACTGAACTTGTGTGTTTGAGGAAAAAAATCAATCGAGAGAAAACGATTGGCTTTACTTTACGGTTGAAATATTAAATGATTATGTATGATTAGGTGTTTAGATAGATATACTCCCCTGCTTAGGTGAAGAATGGTCACAAATCTATAATAATTACCCCACTTATGAGGAGATCAAACTTGTTGAAGGGCCCTCAAGTAAGATTAGGGTGTGAATGTGCTTCACCTGCCCCATGTCACCATGCAAGCAAATTAAACTGTGGGGTGTAGAGGGACCAACCACCAGCTTATAGAATACATAGGTAAGGGGACATCAGAGGATTATGTATATTGAATATAGCTCACTTCTGCAGTCAGGAGACATGATTAAGGTGTCAGCACTGACCAGAGCAAGATGGTTGCTTTGACCTGGGTGAGATGAGATTGATGATACATCGGTTGTAGTGTATGGTTGCATGTTGTATGCAAACTTTATGTAAAATACTGAATGACTGTGAAGTAAATAACATTATTTCTGGGTTTATAATGGGTTGTGTCCTCATAGTTTTAGGTGTGGTCTTATGCAGCTTTTTGTAAGTAGCAAACTACTATATTGTAATGTATGGGGAGAGACACCTTTTTAAATTGAAAATCAATGTATTTATGGGTGTTTTTTTTTTGTGTTTTTCAGAAAAACTACAATGCCAGGTGCATCTGACAAGAAAGAAGGTGAGTTGAATCATTTGTTTTATTATTATAACTAATCTGCATTTCTACATGATGTCTGCATCACCAATACCATATAGAGCCTGCATTTAAAGTACTGTTTCCAGGGGAAGATTCAGATGATCTGTTCTTAGAAAATTATCAGAATTTCCTGGGAAGGTAGTTCTTAAATATAAAATGGATAGTTTGCTATTTTAAATGAAGTTTGTAAGACTACTACTTTCATGGGAAAGCTGGTTTTAAGCCTTGGTGACATCTTCAAACATGCACTGCATTGGGCAATGGCACTGTGGCCTTTTTAACTGCTTCTTCAAACAAATTGGCAATTACCATGTTCTTCCAAGAGTCTTATAAGTAAATACCTTATACTTTTAACCATAGCCACCAGCTTTACATGATCACACTTATCCCTTGGCCAATATGAACACCAGTCACACTCCTCGAATTATATTGATAGTTAATCCCTCTCCTTTCAACTTTTCCGAGAAATTCATTGATAAATAATCCTTGCCTTATTCTGCCAGATGTAATACCCTTGAAAGCAATTCATAGCAGATAATCCTGCAATCAGCCAAAAATATTCAATATCCTCAGAATTTGTTAACAGATAAATAATGGAAATACTAGCACCTATGACGCAAAGTGAATTGCAGCAGAAAAGTAATCAGTGTACAGAGATAGTAATCAGCTGAATGCCATGGTATTACTTGAAGATTAATTTACACTCTTAATTTGATTTTGTTTTTTATTCATTATTCATTTCAGCATTTATTGATGAAAGAAATATTATTTATTGTGTGTGTGCTTGTGTGTGTGTGTGTGTGTGTGTGTGTGTATGTGTGTGGACTCATGTATGTGCTTGCACATGAATTTGCTGAAATATGCATCCGTAATCTATTTCAGACTGGAGACTGGCATTTTGACACACCATTGATTTCAGAAATACATGTCTGATTGTACAGCTAGAGGGTACAAATCATTGATTTCAAGAAATTAATGGCAGAGAGCTAATCTAAGGTCGTGTTCAGTATTATTTTAGCAAAAATGTTTATAACCTCAGGAAGTAGGGTTTGATTATTGCCCCCATCTCAACTGAAATTTTATGTCAAGCATTGGGATTACAAAATGATACCAAAAAAGTTGTTGAGAATTTTCCTCACATAGATGAAGTTTAATATTATAACATGGACACATGCCACTCTTCCATAACCATAATCTGGCAGTAGAATTGTTTTTTACGTGGAAAATCATCTGAGAGCTCTTACCGCCAAATATTGATTTTAGACATATGTACTTGGGAAATTTGAAAGATGACTGGAAATTTTGATTACCAATTTTTGTCTTATGCCAGCACTGCCTTTTGACACTGCAAACAATATCCAAGCACCAAAGTGTTAATTGCATACCTTTTGAATTAGAAACATACACAAGTTTCTCAGCAAAGAAAAGCCCAGGCTTGGGTTTAATTTCCGCTTTGTGCTATGGATAACTTCCTGAATGCGCTGTCACTTCAAAAGTGATGAAAAACTGCCATTGTTGTCATTTGTTTTGAAAGCCGGAATATTACTGGGTTATTAATTAAGGCTGATCTTATCTGTTCGGTTATGATTAATGATATATTACCGTATGTGGATAATGGTCCATTTAATTTGAGTCAAAGCTACATTTATGAAGTTCATATTTCCTCAGAAGAGCTGCTCTTTGCATTGAGTACAAAGCATATTTCTGATAATTTTTTGGTGATTTTGTACGTCTCACTGGATTTGAGAGAAACTGTATTTCTATTTGAAGCAGATTTTTGTGATAACTGCATATGAAATGTTAAATATTTGTCACCCTTGACAGTTGCCATGTTTTAAAGGATTTCAGCACAATTAAGTTGTTTCTGGCATTGGTAACTTTATAAGTGTGACATTGGTGATATCAAAATGTTTTTGGGATTGTTATTCTGCAGATATGTATTTAAGCCTTCACAATACATATTTGAAGAGAAGAATTTCTGTATTTTTTAACATATTAGCTCATTTTGATGAACTGGTGCAATCCATGCTATAAATAAAGTCACCCGAGTTAAAATTATTGATTTAGGTGTGAATTTGTGTTTAGAAAAACATCAGATTACAACAGGAAAGACCAATTATTTATAAAGCATGTAAACTCAACAAAGAATAATTCACTTATGTTGTAGATCACGTTTGTATGGATTCTTAATGTTTATTCTTTTCCACCCATTAACATCACATGAATAAGGACAATTCTCTCTCTAAGGAAGGAATAAAATGCTTCTGAGAAAATAATCTCTCAGAACGTGACAGTGTGAGTTTGCTTTGACTATTCGCAAAAGTCTCGTGCAAAGTGTCTTGGCATTTGACAATAGCACATCTGACATGAACAATTTAGTCCAATTTATTCCATATCAATCAGAACAGCAAATTCCCATCAGATGGCTTTGGAAGTGAAAAAGAGAGGTTCCAACGCTAAACTGATCAATACTCATTTTGTAGATCATGGCTTATTCTTCAGATGTCATCTGCGAACAACGATCATCGAAACAATGTGAATTTAAAATATAGTCTCTTGATGTTTGGTTTATATTTTACAGGCTACACTTTTTCCAGTTCCTAGCTGCTTCAGTAGCAATTTGTCCAAGGTGCCAAAATTTCTGAGGCATTTAATAAAATGATGAATTGGTTTTTTGAACATTAAATAAGAGATTTGAAAGGATTGATACAGTTAATGTTTTCCCAAGAATATATAGAGACTATCCTTGTTAAAGTCAGAGAGATCACCTGACTATGGCTTTCATGCCTCTTTCCCCTAATCAAGTGTCTGTGGATAACTGAAAGCCGTGAAAATATTTATTTCAAACACTTCGTTGAAACCTGGCTGGTCTTAATGCCAATGCTTTTATACAGGCCCCACTGAGAATGCATTCACAACTGAGTAGTCTATGTAAAGGGCCAGGTATGGTGATGAAAATGGCTGGTTCTAAAGGCAGACCAAAGTGTGTTACATGGAACTTCATTACACTGAGGTTGCGGTAGATTTAATGGTGATGGAGATTAACCATTTCCCTCGAAGAAATTGCTTACTCCTTCTTTTCTGGGAATTTCTATTGCAGTGTAATTGATAGACCCTCAATTACAGAGACATTAAACTAATTTTTACGTGGTGAAAGGGAGACTTTATGAGGATTTTTTAGAGGCAGTGGCACCTCACCACTTAGGTTGTTAATATCCTGTGGTACATTTGTGTGTGGAGAGAAACTGGAGCTCTCTGTCTGAGTCTTTGTAATGGTGTATTGAAAATAGATGTGCTTGTAGGCAGACGCCATGGAGACGGCACATCCATTTTGGCAGTGTGTTATTATTGAACAACTTGTAATGCTGCTTTTACGATATGATAACATTGCAGAAACATGCTATCATACTAATGCTTGCCAGTATTCTTCCTCTCCTCCCTCTATCTAGCCCTCTTGAAGAAGCATGGTTTCACAAATTCATATGCATATTTATTCAGTATGATCAGTGATGTGATTTGTGGTACATTTAGCTCTTTCCGAACATAACCGATTACCTAGGACAGCTGAGATAAGTACATAAGTTCGGATAAGTTTTTGTTGTGTTTTGTTGGGGCACCTGTATTAGGGCACAATTTGAAAAGAATTTAATTTAACATGAATTGCGTTTCATTTTTTGCCACTTATTGTTATTTTTAATAGAAAATTGAGGTGTTTGTTTTGCTAGGTAAAGTTTAGGAAGGGTTCTTTTCTTCAAGGGTAGATCCTCTCTCCAAAACACAACATTATTCAATGCCAAAAATTTAGCATGAAGTGTACCTTGATATTTAACTTTTATTAACTTCTTTGTGCAGTCATTTCTCTGTATATATACCTTCAATTACACTTCCAGGTTCAAGAAAAACAGATCGTTGCCTTGCTCTACCAACTTGACTTTTCTTGGCTAATGATCCGAGGAGAAAAATCAATGGTTCATTCTACCAGTGCTTGTTTTTACAGGTTCACCCATTGACGAAAATAGAATAGCAGTGCTTTGAGACTGCATGAACAATAACCGAAATTGGAGAAAAATAAAACAATCAATGAAGTTTTGCTTCACCAGGCAATTGTCCCATTCACTATGCAAGGGGTAAAGTTTGCAGGCTATTATACTTGCGTTAGGGAGAACTGTTAGGGAGAGTTAGGGTGTAAAATCGATCCTTACAACACGTGGCCCTACAGTTATACCATGGGTAATTCAGTGCTCCGCCTTTTTGCCTAGACAGTCAATGTCATAATTGTTCCCAAATTATTCATATAGCATAACAGTTCATGCATATCTGTAGGTTCGGCTGATCAAACCCCAGATACGGTCACTCAGTCCAAAGAAAAAAGTACGTGCCCAAATTGTAAAGCTCAGGCACATGCTCACTGACACGAGAATTCAAATATGTAAAGTACGCAACTTTTGTTTTCTAAGTCTTTCACCATGCCACCCTCAGGGTTCAGAGGCGGTGTCATGTATTTACTAGTAGTCACACAACTTTGCGACTCCCAAATGTTCAGCCGAGATTAAGTGGTTGATCTTGATTCAGGGGATAATGTTCTCAGTTTCCTAATCATGTCGTCTTTGGTCATTCCAAGTTTAGACGAAGGTAAGACTTTCTCTTAATTTTTGTATGGGCAGACGGTAGCTCTTTCAGATACACTAAACAAATTCCGAGCATATCCAGAGGTGACTTGTAGGAAGTTGTATGTAGAGTCTGTTATGGATGTGGTCAGAAGAACCCTGGAGTGATATGTGCACAGTAGATGATTCACCCAGTTTCCATTTAGTATGACATGGCAAAATGTATGTGGTCATATCTCAAAGCAAATGCTTCTATTTGTTAAGGGTATCTGGTCAGTTATTGACTAGGTATTCATATAGAATCTCACAGATAATTACTGATTGTTCCAGGATTGTAAATTATGATGAACTATAAGAATTTCAATTCATAAAAGGCTGGATGACATATCTGACAAAAAAGATCTAAAATCCTTATGAGATAAAATATGTGCAGCTTCTCAGATATTTTACTTAAGCTATTGGGAACACAGCTATATGCAGGGATACATTTAGTAAACAAATACATTGGCAAGAAAAAAATAGATGTCTAAATAGAACAGTTTCATCCAAATTGCTGCATAGAAAATAGTGTTTGTTTTAGTGGATATAACATCTGTAGATATTTCTGACGTTGAATTTTATGTAAGACTGAGCAGTCTACCATTTTAGTAGATATTAAAAAAAAAAAAAGGTGTGTAGCATTCATGAGCTAATAATAGGCCAGGCATGATTGGTTATTCAAATAACCAGGCTAGAATAAATAAGATTTATCAAAGAAACTTTCCGTGGCTTGGAGGTTATGGTGGCACTTCTAGTGCCCTACCCAGTCTCTGCCCTGTATAATAACATTCATACTGAATTGTTATGTAGTTACAATAACTTCCTCAATACCATCCTCAGGCCTTTTATTTCAGGGGTTATTTAGTTCTGCATGCTGCTATGAAATGAAATGAGTGCAATTTTGTCATATTTATATAATTATACTTCAATCAAGTGTAATTTTGTTATCTAGTGTCATCTTTTTGTATATATACTTGACAAACTACATTTTTGCCAGTATATACAGGTGCAAAAGTTGCAATAAATATATATGTATTGTGAATATATATTTACTATACACTTCTTTGCTTCAACTCATTATCATTGTCACACATTATGAATACTTGATGAAAAACAAATTCCCAGTTTAGGTGGTTTGGCATTGGCTTTGTACCAAATTAGCCTTTTTAGTTAATTAGAAAGATAATGGACGGAACACTTAAAAGATCAAAAAGATAAACCCATACGTGAGTCTGCACATACTTATTGCGAGGCAATACAAAGGGCAACTAATTAACTAAATGGTGGATCCTAAATTAATGATAGTGCCATGAGGACTGGGGTAGACATAGGTGATCTGGGATTACCAGGAATATACCATGTAAATCACCTGTGATGTGAACTCCTGATCATTATACTTCTAATGGTTACAATTTCATCTACATCAAGATTAACAGGTCATGGTCCCTCTCCATTGATGTGTAATAAATCATACAGGATTTAATGTCATAATTGAAAAATGTACTTAGATATGTGTGCTTTTTATAACCCAGTTTATTTCAGTCCCATGTATTAACTCAGTGGGAAATTTGATCTCAATTCAGTTGAATTGGTTTGATACAAATTGAGATGTAAAATGTTCTAGAATTTAGGTTTTTTTGGCACATTTTTATTTTATCACCTAAACTAGTGTCACTCAAGTCTGCTGTAATACTAAAATTTAGCTAAAATAAATTTCTGGTTCAGAGCTAGATTTTGTGATCATATATTTAAACCACCACTTGTAATCCTGTAATTTTATTGAATGGTTAAGAACTTTCTCAATAATTGTTCACCTTGACTCACAGATTGGTAACACGTAGCAAGATCCCCTATTGTCTTTTTATGTTGCAGCAGTTTGAAAAAAATGGAAGAGGCAAAACAAATTCCATTAATGCTGTTGATTTATGGATGAATTATTTAGAAGATGAAACTGTTGTTTAAAGCTGTATTGCCATCTATTGACCAGATGTTCCACCATTAAAATACACAATGTGCATCACACAGGAAGAGAAGTTTGGCCTTTTCTTTTCATTTTCCTTGTAATTTGTGAAAATCACTCCTGCACAATGCATTGCCAATGCATTCCAAGTGATTGCCACCCAAATTTTAATAAGTTATAAGAGCTGGGAATAGATATCTCACTAATATCTAGAGCAGATGGTTTGTGATGGTATGAGTTCTACCAAACATTATGGAAGAAAAGCTTTGAGAGGCAGAAAATATAGTAGGTTTCCTTATTCTTTTTAGAATCTCCAGAGACCAAGAAGAAGAGCTCTCCATTCAGTAGACTGTTCAGAAGTAGAAAAAGTAGCAGGAAGAACTCAAAGTCTTCAGATAACAAGGAGGGTATTGGTAAGTAACACTGTTAAAATGTGAACATAATGGTAGAATGAGTTGTGGTTTCTAGGAATTTAAAGATAGATGTTTAAAATTTGCTTCAGCATTGACCATATTGTTACGCAGGGGTTGGGGTTTCAAAGTTTGATTTCTGAAAGTTTTTTTCTCTTCAATTAGCCATATTTAAAACCATTGGCTGCTTCCGAACTAAACAAGATAACAAGATTCTGTTTTATTATATATATATATATATAATGTACCAGTGGATATAGCTGCCCAGTGATCAGGGGTGTCTCCTGCATGACAACATTGGCAGTTTTATTGTTGTTGCCAGTAGCAATATTAATTCAGTCAGTAAAGTTTGGAAGGATGCACATTTGTTAATGAATGTTGTATTTGTGTATACAGTTTTACTGATGCTGCTACTGTAGCTGCTGGGGGCAATAATGGTAATAATATTATATATTATGCAGCACATGGGTGGGCTGATAATGGCAGTTCTCTCTTATGTTTTCTGGCACCTTCTGTGATAATCATGTAGTTGCTTGCAGCAAAGGCGTAACATTGGCAACAACATGTCACAGTTGCTTTTGTTTCGCTGGACACCTTGCACACACTGGTGCATAAAGTCATAGGTAGGAATTTCAACCATCTGGTGTCTGAATGCAAAAAAGAATGTCATATTTAAACATAAGATTTATTTACAGATGTAATATATTTACGCATGGAAAAGACTGTGCGAGTGTTTGAATATTGATTTTTATTACATTTTAAATGTTTTTTCAGAACTTCATGCCAGCCAAATCACAATGAGTGATGAGGACAGGATTCAACTGATGGTGCTAGTTAAAGAAGGAAAACTCACCCCAGACCAAGCAGTAGAAGTAGTAAGTAGCATCTTTGCTATAAATGTAGTTCATAGCTGAAGTTAAAATAAGCTAACTAATGATGAGGGATGACAGTTTCAGCTCTTTTTTCTTTGACAGTTTTGAAATAGTAAAAAACTACAAAATCAGATTTGACAGTATTGGTAGCACTGGCGGGTGGTCCTTTCAGTAGAGCTTAAATTTAGCCAAGAGTGACTTCTTGAAAAGAGTGACCAGTGGGTGACATATGATTGAGGGTCATTTTGTTGGAACCAAAGAAATACCATGGTGAAAATACTAATTGAGGGAAAATGATGGATGTGTGAAGAATATCCCAGTCAATACCATCATAGGTGTATATTGCACAAGGATCTTATCAGGCAAAAAAAACTAAAACAAGTCAGTTATTAGATGTAAGGTTTATGTAATAGTTCTACCATTTATTACTGCCATTGATAATATGTGTTAGCTATTTATCCTGTCTCAATACACTACTAAGCCTCCGTCAGTGCACCTTGATGTTCTCTGACAACCATTGTGTTTAGTGTGCCCAGTCCCTATCTCCTTCTTGGCAAATGGAACAATGATGGTGTCTCTGCCTGTCTCCTCTACCACACTGAGACAGACCTGATGGTATTGATCAATGGGAAGTCACATTCCTACCAGTTTTTGAGCTAAATAGGTTTGATAGGTAACACTTTGACTCCCCCCCCTCCCCCCCCCCCCACACACCCACACATACATAATTTCATCTTTCTGCCATCATGAATTTTAATGGGCATCATAATGAGCAGTGACCAAGATTAGAGAAAGATGATAACTAAGCAGCTGCCTCCTGTAGTAAGCCTCTCTTTAAATTAAAACTGCTGAGAACAGGATTTTATGTTCCATTAAGGATGATGGATTGCTTGTTTTAATCAGATGTGCTAACTTGATAGGGCTTTCTGCAAAATTGACTTGTCAGAGAGAAGTGGAACCAGTAGAGAGGAATATTTGACAAGTTGTTGTATGTAGTGTTATGCTGTTTGTGAATACATCAGGCATATTTGGCATAGTTAAAACCTTACAAGTGGATATGAATTTGGCTTGAGGTATGGTACAACATTTAGATATGCACCCTCTAGGTGCAGCCATCAAGGGCCGCAGTATTCTCTATATTTATACACATAAATGCTTTTCATTAGCCATGTATGGACAACTGAAGTAGCATGTGTGTTCAGGGGAATATTTCTGTGCAGAAACCTGTGTTGTTGAATTAAATTTTTCTGTGAGTTTTGTTAGACTTGACATTGCTGCAGGCATGAGGTTTGCTGACTAAACCTGTTTTTACTTAAAAGTGTTAGCGTGGTAGAATGTTATGGCAGACATAGTCAAAAGGGATGGGCGGAGAAATTGATATTCTGAACATCAATCATAATAGTTAGGTGTTATGCCTGAAGAACACACATTGAAATGCCAGTTTAGCTGTTGAAAAGGTAGGTTACGTGATATCCTTTTGTGAATATTTCCAGTTTTTACTAANAAGAACTTTCTCAATAATTGTTCACCTTGACTCACAGATTGGTAACACGTAGCAAGATCCCCTATTGTCTTTTTATGTTGCAGCAGTTTGAAAAAAATGGAAGAGGCAAAACAAATTCCATTAATGCTGTTGATTTATGGATGAATTATTTAGAAGATGAAACTGTTGTTTAAAGCTGTATTGCCATCTATTGACCAGATGTTCCACCATTAAAATACACAATGTGCATCACACAGGAAGAGAAGTTTGGCCTTTTCTTTTCATTTTCCTTGTAATTTGTGAAAATCACTCCTGCACGTTGCATTGCCAATGCTTTCCAAGTGATTGCCACCCAAATTTTAATAAGTTATAAGAGCTGGGAATAGATATCTCACTAATATCTAGAGCAGATGGTTTGTGATGGTATGAGTTCTACCAAACATTATGGAAGAAAAGCTTTGAGAGGCAGAAAATGTAGTAGGTTTCCTTATTCTTTTTAGAATCTCCAGAGACCAAGAAGAAGAGCTCTCCATTCAGTAGACTGTTCAGAAGTAGAAAAAGTAGCAGGAAGAACTCAAAGTCTTCAGATAACAAGGAGGGTATTGGTAAGTAACACTGTTAAAATGTGAACATAATGGTAGAATGGGTTGTGGTTTCTAGGAATTTAAAGATAGATGTTTAAAATTTGCTTCAGCATTGACCATATTGTTACGCAGTTAAATAACCGTTGGGGTTTCAAAGTTTGATTTCTGAAAGTTTTTTTCTCTTCAATTAGCCATATTTAAAACCATTGGCTGCTTCTGAACTAAACAAGATAACAAGATTCTGTTTTATTATATATATATGTACCAGTGGATATAGCTGCCCAGTGATCAGGGGTGTCTCCTGCATGACAACATTGGCAGTTTTATTGTTGTTGCCAGTAGCAATATTAATTCAGTCAGTAAAGTTTGGAAGGATGCACATTTGTTAATGAATGTTGTATTTGTGTATACAGTTTTACTGATGCTGCTACTGTAGCTGCTGGGGGCAATAATGGTAATAATATTATATATTATGCAGCACATGGGTGGGCTGATAATGGCAGTTCTCTCTTATGTTTTCTGGCACCTTCTGTGATAATCATGTAGTTGCTTGCAGCAAAGTCGTAACATTGGCAACAACATGTCACAGTTGCTTTTGTTTGGCTGGACACCTTGCACACACTGGTGCATAAAGTCATAGGTAGGAATTTCAACCATCTGGTGTCTGAATGCAAAAAAGAATGTCATATTTAAACATAAGATTTATTTACAGATTTAACATATTTACGCATGGAAAAGACTGCGAGTGTTTGAATATTGATTTTTATTACATTTTAAATGTTTTTTCAGAACTTCATGCCAGCCAAATCACAATGAGTGATGAGGACAGGATTCAACTGATGGTGCTAGTTAAAGAAGGAAAACTCACCCCGGACCAAGCAGTAGAAGTAGTAAGTAGCATCTTTGCTATAAATGTAGTTCATAGCTGAAGTTAAAATAAGCTAACTTATGATGAGGGATGACAGTTTCAGCTCTTTTTTCTTTGACAGTTTCGAAATAGTAAAAAACTACAAAATCAGATTTGACAGTATTGGTAGCACTGGCGGGTGGTCCTTTCAGTAGAGCTTGAAATTAGCCAAGAGTGACTTCTTGAAAAGAGTGACCAGTGGGTGACATATGATTGAGGGTCATTTTGTTGGAACCAAAGAAATACCATGGTGAAAATACTAATTGAGGGGAAAATGATGGATGTGTGAAGAATATCCCAGCCAATACCATCATAGGTGTATATTGCACAAGGATCTTATCAGGCAAAAAAAACTAAAACAAGTCAGTTATTAGATGTAAGGTTTATGTAATAGTTCTACCATTTATTACTGCCATTGATAATATGTGTTAGCTATTTATCCTGTCTCAATACACTACTAAGCCTCCGTCAGTGCACCTTGATGTTCTCTGACAACCATTGTGTTTAGTGTGCCCAGTTCCTATCTCCTTCTTGGCAAATGGAACAATGATGGTGTCTCTGCCTGTCTCCTCTACCACACTGAGACAGACCTGATGGTATTGATCAATGGGAAGTCACATTCTTACCAGTTTTTGAGCTAAATAGGTTTGATAGGTAACACTTTGACTCCCCCCCCTCCCCCCCCCACCCACCCACACATACATAATTTCATCTTTCTGCCATCATGAATTTTAATGGGCATCATAATGAGCAGTGACCAAGATTAGAGAAAGATGATAACTAAGCAGCTGCCTCCTGTAGTAAGCCTCTGTTTAAATTAAAACTGCTTAGAACAGGATTTTATGTTCCATTAAGGATGATGGATTGCTTGTTTTAATCAGATGTGCTAACTTGATAGGGCTTTCTGCAAAATTGACTTGTCAGAGAGAAGTGGAACCAGTAGAGAGGAATATTTGACAAGTTGTTGTATGTAGTGTTTTGCTGTTTGTGAATACATCAGGCATATTTGGCATAGTTGAAACCTTACAAGTGGATATGAATTTGGCTTGAGGTATGGTACAACATTTAGATATGCACCCTCTATGTGCAGCCATCAAGGGTCGCAGTATTCTCTATATTTATATACATAAATGCTTTTCATTAGCCATGTATGGACAACTGAAGTAGCATGTGTGTTCAGGGGAATATTTCTGTGCAGAAACCTGTGTTGTTGAATTAAATTTTTCTGTGAGTTTTGTTAGACTTGACATTGCTGCAGGCATGAGGTTTGCTGACTAAACCTGTTTTTGCTTAAAAGTGTTAGCGTGGTAGAATGTTATGGCAGACATAGTCAAAAGGGATGGGCGGAGAAATTGATATTCTGAACATCAATCATAATAGTTAGGTGTTATGCCTGAAGAACACACATTGAAATGCCAGTTTAGCTGTTGAAAAGGTAGGTTACGTGATATCCTTTTGTGAATATTTCCAGTTTTTACTTATAGCACGCAAAACGACATTTAATATAAAAAATCAGTAATTTTCCTCCTTGAGGGAGAAAGATAAAGATGAAAGAAATATGTATGTTTTAAGTATCACTTTTTTTATCAGGTAAAGCTTTATGAAGAAGGCAGAAAGAGGGGGATTTATGAAGACTTAATAGTTCAAGACCCAGAGATTAGGGTGAGTGAAAAAATTTGTTTTGCTAAAAGAATGCAAACCATGCTAATGCTAACATTCAAAATAGAAACTGCATAAGTTCTCTTTGAAATTTTCTGACCCCCACTTGCAGCTAAAATTTAAATGAATGAAATGGAGCAACAGGTGTTACTCAGTAAGTAGTCAGTTTAACCCTTGTATGGCAAAAAAAATTCCAGTATGCTCAATTTACCTTGGCTGTAAAATTGAGTATTATTTTACCACTTAACCAGGCACCATTTTTTTTTTTTTACTTGGACCACTTTTTATTTGCGAGACCCCTCTGAATGTATTATATGACAAACAAACACAGTGCTGTATCTGTGTAGTACAAGAAATGTTTGATGAGTGTGATTTTTAAAATGATCTCTAACAGATATGATGTACCAATTTTTACCATAATTTGCTATCATAATTGTTCACAATTTTTATTACCACTTTTGTGCATTGCTAATGCTTGTCATTCAGTAGAGACATTTTGTCAATCTGCAAATGAGGATAAAACTAGATATAGAAAAAAGTAATGCATGCACACACTTCTCTTCCATATGATGCATAACTATTACATAAATGTCAGAAAAAATGATGCATTTATCTGAATATGATAATAAATTGTTCCTGCACATACACGCACGCACACACACACACACACCTGTTACTTGAGGAATGTACCTGATATGTAAATGTCTAAAAAATCTCCATCAACATAAATGTCAGCTTTTATGTTGTCTATTTTGTGGTATTTCTTCAGGCAAGTCCTCCGAATTACTCTGCCCATACTTCTCCCGAAGCATCTAAGAATTTAGTAAAGTATGCATCTTTGAGGAGGAAGAGGAGCAGTTCTATACAGAGTGGAGGCGAGGGGGAAGGTAAGAACAAGTATTTATATATGTTTTCGATATCTAACTATGATTTTAACTGAATGTGATAGTTCAGATTTTCTTAGAAAATATTAATTTTGCCAGTGATACAGGTCTTAAAGACCAATTTTCTTTGGCATAGTGTTAAATGTATTGAATGTTTCTTTTGTTGAGTTTATATGATATAAAATCAGATACTGAAACATCTAAAGGGGCTAATAGTTTTACAACCTTTTAAGTTTGCTGGAGGTGTTATTTTGTAAAGTTAATTTATTTAGCAACCCAATCTAATCTTGTTAACAGCACAGAAATGTTTTTTAAATGTCCATGTTCGTAGTAGTTTATAGAATTGTTGATGAAATTTAAGATTTCATGTTGAGTTGAAAACCATGTAAGTTTGACTTTGTTTCTCTGAGCAAGTTATTTTCATAAGAGAATGGTGTGTTTGTCCTCCGCTGCCCTTCAGCTTACCTCAGGCAACCAGTGCCATGGTCTTTTCTGGTTTTAATCACCATAACAAAGACAGGGACTTCCTTAGTAAATCAGTTAGATGATTTCATTATGGACCCAAAGCAAAGCCTGTTAACCTGTTTCAATTTTAAGAAATTTTCTTTGCATTTTTTGCTTGTAGAGAAATGGACTTGTATAGAAATGGTTTTTAATTTTGTGAATTCATAAAAGTGTTATATTACCCAGATTGTTTTCTTTTAGGGCTAGTTTTGTCTTTCTATTTAACCTGCAGCATAATCCTTGAAATAACTCTCTACAGTTTCATTTTGTTAATTTGTTTTGACACTGTTGATTTTTAACAAGGCCACTTTGTATAATATGCTTTCCTCCAGCAAACTTGAGAAAATACTTGTTTTCTATCAGCTATGTGACTTTGATAAAGGCAACCATCGGAGTAGGATTATTGTAATTAAAACTATCAGGAATCTTTTCAATTCAGTCACATCCTGAGTGATTGAATGAGTGAATTTCTTTGATAAATCTCATTACGCGGATCAATTCACCATTGAGCATTTGGCTTAAAAAGACTGCTATCAGGGGAAGTTATGCTGATTTGTTAATCAGATCAGCACAATTCATTTGTTCCTTCTAAATATAATACTTTTTTACTAGTCAGTCTCTGCTGTAGTTAATTATACACATTATGATGTGCTTAACAGAAGGCTATTATAAATCTGGTCTCTCATTTGATTAAACATTTATCCAGCCACATGGTCTGTTTTTCTGAGCTGCGTGTATTTAAATACTGTGGTTTAGTTTAGAATGAAAGATAGTGATTTTAAAGTTTTAGAGAGAGCTGTGGGAAAAAACTAAAATAGAATAAAAGACCAAGGCTGCAGGTCACACTGGTACAGCAGCTGGTAGGTAATCAGTGGTGCTGGTTGTCACTTTGTGAGTAGGTACCGTACTGGTGTAAGTAGTGCATTTTTGTTATCGAGGGAAGTAAATGTAGAAGCTGGGAAAGTATTTTGTGACCTGTAATGTAATAGGTATTGTGTATTCCATGCAGTTGTAAAGGGCAAAAGAGTCAGGTGTGTGCTCAAGAGTCTTAAAGATAATTTCAGCCGTTAGGATATTCATGAAAAGTTTATGCTTTCATTTCTTTTGACAAGTGATGTAATAGTGACTGTATTCCTTACATTACAAAAGGGTAAAAGAGTCAGGTGTTTGTTCAAGAGTCTCAAAGATAATGTCAGCAGTTAGGATATTCATGAAAGGTTTATGCTTTCATTCAAAACAACAATTCAAACCAGTTATTGATGATTTATGAATGAGAGCTGGGTACACAATTTGTTTTCTGGATAAAATTTGCCACCTGGACATACAAAAGATTTGCCATGAGATTTCCGTTAAATAGAACCCTTGTGTATTTCCAGATGAAACTTTTTGTAGCAGTAGTCCAGACAGCAGAAGGTCATCTTTTTGTTATGATGATGATGATTTGGCCCCTGATCTCATCCCAGCTGGCTCCCACAACAGCCCCCTGAGTCTGAGGAACACTCAGTCCAGGTGGTTCCAGAGACAGTCTTCTCAAGGAGGAGGAGTTGGAGGGGGCTCACCTAGGTCCCCCAACTTACAGGCACATGGTTCCAGACTTAACTCTGTGAGCTCTAACCCAGGGACTTCAACAGCTGGGCAGGGAAAAAGAAGGTCTCGGACATATACTAATACATCTACACACTCAGCTCAGCTTGGCCCTAGGGTGAGCAATACAGCCTCCCCTCCCCCTAGTCCTCTGAGTTACACAAGTTGTGGAGGACAGACTGCTTGTAGTAAAGACTCTGGATGTCAGAGTACACAGAACTCTTTAGATTCAAGGAGCAGTTCCAGTAGTAGTAGCAGTCAGAAGAGTTTTCGGTCACCTTCTTCATATAGACACAACGGTGGGCCTTCCTCTGTGTCGCCATATCACGTATCACCCGTTGTGAGTAGAGGGTCAACTCCTACCAGGCAGCACTCTCCAGCCCTCAGGACAAGATCCTCTCCTGCCAGTCCTTCTCACTCATACACAGAACGCAGGAGACAGTGCTCTGGTGATTACTCTCCAAATACTTCTTCCAGTTATGCTGGCCAGGATAATGCTGGTCAGTGTGGTGTGGATGTCCACTGTGAGGATGACCACTTAGTGGTCAGTGTCCCCGACTCCGAACATCCTGGCAGGAAGCATATTTATAGAAGACAATATTCCTTAGATTCTAACATTCCACACCCAAACCAGAGCAGGAGTGTCAAGCAGTCACCCCCTGTAGGAAGGCACTCGTTTAATTACAGCAATCCTGGTGGAGGTTATGCTAGTTATGGTAATTACAGCAGTGTGGGGATCAAAAAACGCATTTCACCCCCACGTGAAATAAAGACAAACGGAACCTTACTATTACAGGGCAGTCCCGTCCTGGGGCCAAGACATGATGAGCAACGGGTCCTGCCAAGTAATCTATCTCTGACATCTTTAGCTGAAGAGGATAGAGAAAGTAACACTAATATTAGTGCAGCAGCACTTCTATCTCCACGGGTGCCAAAGAAAGAATTCAAGAAAGCTTCTAAAACAGAGCAGAGACTGAGCTGGGATGAGAGAAGGTTTGAACAAAGTAGTAGTGTATCTGTGCCTGTGAGTAAAAAGCCCTCTCCAGGTGCTGAAACTTTCAGTAAAGTAGATAAGAACCAGAATGGTCTAGTGCTAAAAGAAACTGTAGATAAATTGAGTTTGAATAACAGAGATTTCATATCTAAGGATAAAGTAGTCTACAAGGAAAAAGCTAACAGCCCTCTAGCATCAGGTTCTTTTAAAACAGTCACCAATGATTTGTCTTCAAACTCACATGGTTTCTACAAATCGGTGAACAATGGAGTGTCTACTGAACCAAAGAGAGTCAATGAAGAATTTTCTCTGAAGAAACCTAAAGCAGGGATTGAAAGTTCAAGTTCTGTTAATGTCAGGAAGAACATTGAAGCAAACTCAAGTGTGAATACAAGTGCCTCTCTCGACGGGGAACCAGGCACCCATGCACAGGCTAATGTGATTACTCCTTCCTCAGAAGAACTTCAAAATGGTAAATCCACTGGATATGTAAAGGCTGATGTGTCAGCTAGTCCAGTAAATAATTCAACAGATTCTGAGCATGAAAAATCCAGGAATTTGGTCTTAGCCAAAAAAACAGAATCTGTGCAAAAAAGAAGTTCAGTTTCTCAAGAGGCAGATCCCTCTTATTCCTTCCCACACCTGCAGTTTGAAGGAGCAGCACATTTGAAAGCAAGGGATCGGGACAGCCAGATCTTTGCGGAACTTAACTCACAAACAGCTGAGATATTCACAGAAGACGAGGGAGATTTGGAGACCCTCCCAGACCCTGGTGTAGGGGACTCCAAATTTGGTGGAAGTACTTCCACTATGTCTGTTGGATCTGATACGTCACCTCAATTAGAAAGGAAGAACGGAATGTTTGAGAGAATTCGAAAATTACGAGTAAGTATGATTTCATTAAGATGATATTATATGATAATATAAACTTAACATGGTTTTCAGTATAGTGTAACTGCTCAGAAAACTTCAGAAATATGCAAAAAAAACCCCTCTAAGATCAGATATATAGATTCATCAGATCTTAAAACACCACATAATTAATATATTTTTGAATACTTGCATTTTGCTAACTTTTATACATGTATTTCTTGTATCTTATTTCAATTGATGAATTCTTTTATTAATTATTATTTTGTGATTATTTTGTTTTGTACATATTATATTTTGATTACTGCCACTAAAGTAAATTCATATTTATCATGCATTTGTTTCAGATGCACAAGAGTTACAGTTACAGCACAGGGGATGAGCTCCATTCATCTGACTATGAAGATATAGCTGAGGACCCAGACAAGGTGGGTTAGAATGCTGCTTGATATTTAAGATGGTCAGGATAGACCTTGCTATCCAGGGCAATTTCTAGTGTCTTCTCTGGCAATGCCAGGGGCGGATCCAGAGACATTTTCTGACAGTCTTCCAAATTATCTTTGTTGATCCATCCTCCATTTCTGACCGTCTTCCGACAGAAAAAAACAGATACCCGTCAATGTAAACTTGAAAATCTGACCGTCTTCCGGAAGACCCAGACAGCTGGACTTACTAAGAAGGGCTATAATCAAATAATTGATCTCATTAGATGACCAGATTACTTGGGGACCAACCACAATCTTTTAACCTATTTACATCCCAAAGAAACAAAAATTGATTGCAGGTCCTGCCTTTTTGTGATTTTTTTTCTTTTCTATGTTTGATTAACATATGTCAGTGGTAAAATTATTTAGTTTTAGCCATGTTTTAAGAACAATAAATTTCTTTGGGATTATGAAACATGCAAGCCACGATTTTTTATAAGGTCAGCAAATGCAGTTGTTTTAGAGGAGGAATGTTCACTATGTGATATTCACATTTCTTACCTGCGGGTGTCTCTATCAATAGCATTAGGACTTTATCAGTCAGGTGTAGCCTGCTGTATATCCTGCACTATAGTGCCACTCCTGATAGCCATATTGTAGCAAAGCCAGGTGTTTGGTGTTGTTTTCCCACTGTGTACTCTTTAAGAGAAAAATCGGTAATCTGAATAGAAAGGATTCTGTGGAGACATCGGTATTTTTGAATGGCTAAGGTAAGAATGTTTGGCAGTTTGCTCTCACTTTAAGCACTCTGCACAATGTTGTGAATAGAGTGATTGGGTTTTTTTTTTTTTTTTTTTTTTGCATAAACAGCAATTATTTAGTATCAAACCAGTTTTAAGATGGAGAGACAAATTGACTTGTATTTATGAGGTATTTTGTTGTTGCATTTAATTCAAGTGATAAATGTCATATTTCTATTCTTGGCAAAAGTTTTTTTGGAAAGTAGATGCAATCTGTCATTTTATGACAGTAATTGTGATTGATCCATAATGTTTTGAGACTGTTTTTACTTATTGGCTTTTGGTTGCATTACTAGAATTGAGAGATTTATTCCACTTCAGTGGCTTCAAAGTATTGAACTATATACCTTGCACATCTGGTCTGAAGAAGCTGCTTCTGGTATGGAAACATGAAAACAGTTATCTTATTTGCATCAAAGTTTTTCCAATTGATTACATCTAGAGACATGATCAGATTGATGGCTTTTGAACACTGCCTGAGGGAAATATTTGGAAAAGGATACTCTTAAGTTGGTCCTTGTTTTTAATTTTCTCACATTCCTAGAACTAATGACAATTCAGGAAAAAATAGCCTCTGCTCTTAGTGATTTATAAGGAGTTTAATTTACAACAGCTGGCTGTAGTGTTTAGTTGTTTTTGTGGTCCCCATTTCCTGTGAACTTTACTATGTGGCACTCTGCTGTATTTCTTAAATATGGAATATGCTATTGATATGTTAAAAAAAGTGTGATTGTCATTTTGATAGAGTGAAAATTCGTCTGTAGTAAAAATCATCAATTTTCAACTTGATGCAAGTGTTATAGTTGAAACTCAACACTAGAATGTCCGAATGAATTGATATGCTGTTTTGCAATGTATTAGTGCCCTAAGTACTGCATGCAGAGTTTTCTTGTGTTTTTTTGGTGGGGAGACCCCATTCAAGATGCTGTAGTATTTTTAAGTAAATACCACTGATTAGGTAAATACTAGTGATTAGATAAATAGCAGGCCCCTTGCTTTGCTAGAAGCTTGGATAAACACCCTCACTAGAAGATGATTCACAAAGAAGACAGTACAGTGTGGGGGCTTTCAGTAGAAATTTACTTCTTAAGAGATTTTTATATGTAGTCCATAGAATGATGAATATTCCTGTTTAATACAGTGATTTGAGGAGTTTTATTGTTGAGAACATGCAAAATGGTTGAATTACTCCTTGCAGTGTAATACTTACAAAGGAAGTTGTTTTTTTTAAAACTCATCCTGATATGCACGATATTCAATTGTTGTAGCATCATGGAAAAGCATCAGTTTTCCTACCAGGTAAGATGTAGAGAGTTTTGAATACATGACAGCAGATTGCTCTGTGTCTGTGTCTGTAGGCTGTGCTTGGGTGATGTAAGAAGAAGATTGTTTACAAATGAAGCTGGCATTTACTTTTTGCCACACTAAACAGACAAGACAGAATGGGAATATGATGCATGAATAGGTTACGTAGGTTGATTAGCTTGCAGCAGATGTTCTTGGGATTAAAGTCCTTACCTTGCTTCTTTGATAAACATTAGGCTATGATTATTTCTTAACATTTCTTTTTAGAAGCTGGCCCTTTCTGGGTTTGGAAGAGATCTCTCCCAGAGGAGTAGCTTCAGTGAAAGAGTAAAAGGATTAAAGCGAGATGTGAAGCGACGTCTCTCCAGACTTGGGAAAGGACATAGACACAGCGACAGTGATGTACAGGTAATTATAAGAATAGATTTAGTGTTTTATGCTGATATTATGTTTGATTTAAGTGAAGTGATTGGTTTTTAGGCTTATGGTGTTTGAACAAATTGATTTCCCAAGAACAGCATTTCAGCCATTTGCATGCCATTTGTCATTTTTAACTTCCATTAAAAGAACTTTATTCACCATGTTGGCTTGGAATGCTCATTAGAGGCAACCTGTTAAACTTTAGAAAGTCATATGTTGTTTGAGAATTGCCTTTTTATGATGAAAAATCAACACATGATCATAATGCAGACTACATGTTTTAAGAATAAGTCTAGCGACAGAGAGTTTGCTTTGTGAAATATGATATAACAAATAATTTTTTTGCTCTTTACATAACAAGTATCTCTATGTGGTTCAATACTTTTAATTCCACTCTGTGTATTTATAATTATGTACACATAATATGTACAGATTTATAAAAATAGAGATAGAATAGATTACTTTACCTAGCTTTATTGATTACAATCCATAAGAGTATCAAGGTTATACCTGAAACTGGTTGTTATAGTTACATTGATGATATATTCCATTATTGTATTACATTTTTTCAGCCTAATCTGTATCTGCCTGAGGAATACCTGGCGAATACAGAACACATGGCAGCTATACCAAGTCCAAGTTAGTTTTTTTTTATGACCACAATTCTGTCTGAGTTAGGAGGTCTATTCACAATATATCTGAATTGGTTGAATTGGCCTGTAACCAATCCGTTGATTTCCCCAAAGACTTATAAAAAGACACTCATTTGCAATTAAGTGATGTACATGGATATGTGCTTGATCAAGTAGAAAATAAGTAGAAGATGTAATCCATATTTAATGCTAGCATTGCCCTTGACAGTGACAACATAAAAAGAAAGTGATGAAACAACCTCTTTACTGACGTGTATTATAGATACAATTTTTGTATCAGTTGACAAATTTAATGAATTTTTAGGTAAAATCAATAAGAACTTTCAGTATTTGTATTTCATTATGTGCATTTGTGATAATTGACAATTTTTGACAGGCAATAATGAAGATAAATGGATTAAGGACCTAGTGAAATTGTCTTCCAATATTCAGATAACAATATTTTTTAAATTATTTGAGATGTTTAACATTTGTGTATTTATTTTAACCAGATGCTGAAGCACAGTTTGGTCCTACATCTACAACCCATCCTGAGGTCACGAGTCCAGATGATACTCCTGCCTACACTGGTCAGTTTGTAGGGAGAGCCATTGTCCATACAGATTATACCCCCAGCCCATATGACAAGGAAGCTTTAACATTGAAGGTAAAGAGAAATATCATTTTGAGTAAGGGGTGATTAGATAGAGGGAAAAGTGTACAATCAGGAATTGTTGATATTATACCCATAGTTAGTATCTAAGAGACCTGAGTGTTTTTTTTTTTTTTAATTGGAAAGTGGTGAATAATCAAATGAATTGTGCAGAGTGACACCAAGAATAAAAATACTCTCGGTATGAATTTCATTCATTTGAGGTAGAGCAACAGCTCTGAATAATACCTTGATGAATAATTCACTGTATGCACTATCAATACCACAGTTGACTTAATTGTAACCGACTTCAAGTGAACTGAATGCCAATGCAGTATAATTACTAGTCCATCTAATCTCATGTGTTAAAGGTCAGATCCCAAGTCAAACACAAAAGCAGAATAAACAAGCATTGAAAAATAAATTCCATAAGTCAATTTTCACCAGGCACTATTAAGATGCTAATAGCACAATTTTCTTGCATCTCTTTTACAGCAAGGAGATATCATCAAAATCATAACCAAAGCAGAAACAGGAAATTGGACGGGTTTGTTGAGGAATCGTGTAGGGACTTTCAAATTCATCAATGTAGAGTTGATACCCGATGAAACTCCTAGGAGGATTAGACGCCAGATGTCAGGAAGAAAGCGCAGTGCCAAAACCAGATCTAAACCCAAAACTGTGGAGGACCTACTGAAGAGGCTGGGTTTAGAGGTATGTGTCATAATTGTTTTTGAAATGAAAAAAAGTTCCTTTTTTGTGGCACATTTACAGTTAAGTTTGGTCTGTCTAATTTAGTATACAACCAATCAAGGCAGGAATCTCACAACTGAAAACCAATCTTAATTCATGTAGCTTATGATGACAATGGGCAGAACAGAGGGATTAAATTTAAGCATGTAAAACATTGTTTCCAATCATTTAGTTTTGACTTTTAGAATAGCCCTGTTTTAAGGATACTGTGTAAAATCTTATTTTTAAAAGTCACTTGCAGTAGACCTAAATGCATACAGCAAATAGCTTAATTATTCACAGAAATTTGTTTTTTTATTTCAGGAATTATTAAGTATTTTCCTGCTAAATGGCTATGACAATCTGGAACTCTTCAGTGAGCTGGAGAAAGAAGATCTCAATGAACTGAATATACTGGACCCAGAGCAGAGGGCTAAACTTCTCACTGCAGCAGAGCTACTGGCTGATACCATGGACTCTGTGGACTATGAGAGTAGGTATTGGCACTTTAGGTCTTAGCATGCACCACTCTCTTAGACTAGAATTTTTTCCTATTTACTTGAAATCTAATTTTACTTTGTATCTTGTAGATTTTCCCTTTAACTACTTGCTTGGATTTTAATCTTAGGGTTTTGCATAGGATATCTTTTTACGGGGGTGTCTCAATAGTCCGAAGGTTCATTGGTCCAAATAATGGTAACATTTTCATCAATTTTATAATCAAGGATTTGTTGGTCCAAAGGTTCAATAGTGAACATTCTTGCCAATGAACCTTCAGACTATTGCACCTTCGGACTATTGCTACGGCCCCTCTTTTTACATTTCATTTGATGGTATTTTTTGTTTTAGTGTCTGAGTTTTCATATTAATAACTTATTTGGGAACAAAATATTCCCATGAGTTAATTTGAAAATTAGATTGGATCTTGTATGGCACAGATTTGCATGATATTTTACTTGCTTAATTATTTCTAATCAGATCCTGCATCCCCTGAAACGAAGACAGAATCAGTGCCAAAACCTCCATCTACAGTCGGTCTGTCTGTTAATGAAAAAGGAGCACCAGATCTGACCCAAAAGACGCCTCGTGATTCAGGGTGCTATGCCAGTAATGAGAACATTATTACTAAGATGAATGGGCATCAGGAGTCCCCTTCAAGCCAGTCCAGTCCAGAAAACACACTGAAGGGTGAAAATGATGCACCAAGAACTGATGTTACCCCTGTTAAACAAGAAGAGAAGCTATCCCAGGTTGTAGTTGTGGAAGTGAAGTCTCCCTCCACTGAGCAAACAACTGAAATAAAGTGTCCAACAAGGATGAAAATGCAGAAGCAGCATCAACAAAAGGGGTCTGCGAACTTTATGGAATCAAAGTCTACATCTACATCACCTAGCAGTAGTGATTCTGCAAGTGATGAAGTAGGACTCAAACTTATTAGCACTGTTGAGCTCAATGGGTCAAAAGTCTCTAGCCAGCCCTTAGTGAAGGAGACTGAAAGTTCAAACTTGGCAACTGAAAGGGTAATTCCCTCTAAAGGGCCAGTGACCAATAATGTGCCACAAAAGACGGGTGATACAAATTCAGCTAACTCTCCTCCAAGTAAAGGGACACCAAGTTTACAAAGTAAACTTAAACAACCACAGACAACGAAAACCCAAAGGATGCCATCTACAAGCTCAGAAACATCCAGTGACATTTCAGATTCCTCGCCTGTCTCAAAAATTCCTTTAACATCTCCAAAGTTAAGGGCTAGCAGAATTCCAGGAGGTCCACCACCTGTGACTACAAAAAAGAGTGGCCTNCTTAGAGGCAACCTGTTAAACTTTAGAAAGTCATATGTTGTTTGAGAATTGCCTTTTTATGATGAAAAATCAACACAGATCATAATGCAGACTATATGTTTTAAGAATAAGTCTAGCGACAGAGAGTTTGCTTTGTGAAATATGATATAACAAATAATTTTTTTTGCTCTTTACATAACAAGTATCTCTATGTGGTTCAATACTTTTAATTCCATTCTGTGTATTTATAATTATGTACACATAATATGTACAGATTTATAAAAAAAGAGATAGAATAGATTACTTTACCTAGCTTTATTGATTACAATCCATAAGAGTATCAAGGTTATACCTGAAACTGGTTGTTATAGTTACATTGATGATATATTCCATTATTGTATTACATTTTTTTCAGCCTAACCTGTATCTGCCTGAGGAATACCTGGTGAATACAGAACACATGGCAGCTATACCAAGTCCAAGTTAGTTTTTTTTTATGACCACAATTCTGTCTGAGTTAGGAGGTCTATTCACAATATATCTGAATTGGTTGAATTGGCCTGTAACCAATCTGTTGATTTCCCCAAAGACTTATAAAAAGACACTCATTTGCAATTAAGTGATGTACATGGATATGTGCTTGATCAAGTAGAAAATAAGTAGAAGATGTAATCCATATTTAATGCTAGCATTGCCCTTGACAGTGACAACATAAAAAGAAAGTGATGAAACAACTTCTTTACTGACGTGTATTATAGATACAATTTTTGTATCATTTGACAAATTTAATGAATTTTTAGGTAAAATCAATAAGAACACTCAGTATTTCATTATGTGCATTTGTGATAACTGACAATTTTTGACAGGCAATAATGAAGATAAATGGATTAAGGACCTAGTGAAATTGTCTTCCAATATTCAGATAACAATATTTTTTAGATTATTTGAGATGTTTAACATTTGTGTATTTATTTTTACCAGATGCTGAAGCACAGTTTGGTCTTACATCTACAACCCATCCTGAGGTCACGAGTCCAGATGATACTCCTGCCTACACTGGTCAGTTTGTAGGGAGAGCCATTGTCCATACAGATTATACCCCCAGCCCATATGACAAGGAAGCTTTAACATTGAAGGTAAAGAGAAAGAAGGGGTGATTAGATAGAGGGAAAAGTGTACAATCAGGAATTGTTGATATTATACCCATAGTTAGTATCTAAGAGACCTGAGTGTTTTTTTTTTTTATTGGAAAGTGGTGAATAATCAAATAAATTGTGCAGAGTGACACCAGGAATAGAAATACTCTCGGTATGAATTTCATTCGTTTGAGGTAGAGCAACGGCTCTGAATAATACCTTGATGAATAATTCACTGTATGCACTATCAATACCACAGTTGACTTAATTGTAACCGACTTCAAGTGAACTGAATGCCATTGCAGTATAATTACTAGTCCATCTAATCTCATGTGTTAAAGGTCAGATCCCAAGTCAAACACAAAAGCAGAATAAACAAGCATAGAAAAATAAATTCCATAAGTCAATTTTCACCAGGCACTATTAATATGCTAATAGCACAATTTTCTTGCATCTCTTTTACAGCAAGGAGATATCATCAAAATCATAACCAAAGCAGAAACAGGAAATTGGACGGGTTTGTTGAGGAATCGTGTAGGGACTTTCAAATTCATCAATGTAGAGTTGATACCCGATGAAACTCCTAGGAGGATTAGACGCCAGATGTCAGGAAGAAAGCGCAGTGCCAAAACCAGATCTAAACCCAAAACTGTGGAGGACTTACTGAAGAGGCTGGGTTTAGAGGTATGTGTCATAATTGTTTTTGAAATGAAAAAAAGTTCCTTTTTTGTGGCACATTTACAATTAAGTTTGGTCTGTCTAATTAGTATACAACCAATCAAGGCAGGAATCTCACAACTGAAAACCAATCTTAATTCATGTAGCTTATGATGACAATGGGCAGAACAGAGGGATTAAATTTAAGCATGTAAAACATTGTTTCCAATCATTTAGTTGTGACTTATAGAATAGCCCTGTTATAAGGATACTGTGTAAAATTTTATTTTTAAAAGTCACTTGCAGTAGACCTAAATGCATACAGCAAATAGCTTAATTATTCACAGAAATTTGGTTTTTTATTTCAGGAATTATTAAGTATTTTCCTGCTAAATGGCTATGACAATCTGGAACTCTTCAGTGAGCTGGAGAAAGAAGATCTCAATGAACTGAATATACTGGACCCAGAGCAGAGGGCTAAACTTCTAACTGCAGCAGAGCTACTGGCTGATACCATGGACTCTGTGGACTATGAGAGTAGGTATTGGCACTTTAGGTCTTAGCATGCACCACTCTCTTAGACTAGAATTTTTTCCTATTACCTTGAAATCTAATTTTACTTTGTATCTTGTAGATTTTCCCTTTTACTACTTGCTTGGATTTTAATCTTATGGTTTTGCATAGGATATCTTTTTACGTGGGTGTCTCAATAGTCCGAAGGTTCATTGGTCCAAAAAATGGTAACATTTTCATCAATTTTATAATCAAGGATTCGTTGGTTCGAAGGTTCAATAGTGAACATTCTTGCCAATGAACCTTCAGACTATTGCACCTTCGGACTTTTGCTACGGCCCCTCTTTTTACATTTCATTTGATGGTATTTTTTTGTTTTAGTGGCTGAGTTTTCATATTAATAACTTATTTGGGAACAAAATATTCCCATGAGTTAATTTGAAAATTAGATTGGATCTTGTATGGCACAGATTTGCATGATATTTTACTTGCTTAATTATTTCCAATCAGATCCTGCATCCCCTGAAACGAAGATAGAATCAGTGCCAAAACCTCCATCTACAGTCGGTCTGTCTGTTAATGAAAAAGGAGCACCAGATCTGACCCAGAAGACGCCTCGTGATTCAGGGTGCTATGCCAGTAATGAGAACATTATTACTAAGATGAATGGGCACCAGGAGTCCCCTTCAAGCCAGTCCAGTCCAGAAAACACACTGAAAGGTGAAAATGATGCACCAAGAACTGATGTTACCCCTGTTAAACAAGAAGAGAAGCTATCCCAGGTTGTAGTTGTGGAAGTGAAGTCTCCCTCCACTGAGCAAACAACTGAAGTAAAGTATCCAACAAGGATGAAAATGCAGAAGCAGCATCAACAAAAGGGGTCTGTGAACTTTATCGAATCAAAGTCTACATCTACATCACCTAGCAGTAGTGATTCTGCAAGTGATGAAGTAGGACTCAAACTTATTAGCACTGTTGAGCTCAATGGGTCAAAAGTCTCTAGCCAGCCCTTAGTGAAGGAGACTGAAAGTTCAAACTTGGCAACTGAAAGGGTAATTCCCTCTAAAGGGCCAGTGACCAATAATGTGCAACAAAAGACGGGTGATACAAATTCAGCTAACTTTCCACCAAGTAAAGGGACACCAAGTTTACAAAGTAAACTTAAACAACCACAGACAACGAAAACCCAAAGGATGCCATCTACAAGCTCAGAAACATCCAGTGATATTTCAGATTCCTCGCCTGTCTCAAAAATTCCTTTAACATCTCCAAAGTTAAGGGCTAGCAGAATTCCAGGAGGTCCACCACCTGTGACTACAAAAAGGAGTGGGCTCAAGCCACCAAGTAGCAGTCCTGGGTCCATGCCATCTACTAATAAAAAAGCAGAAACCAAACAAGAAATTCCAAAAAGAACCCTCCCCATAAGACAGAGTTCATTTAAAAAAGAGAAGAGCCCCCCACCAGTACCACAAAGACCACTCAGGAGGACTCTTACTCCACCTGAAAGGATCCAAGTTCCATCTACCAGTTCTAAGAGTACAAAACCAAGAGGTTTACAGAAAGGTTTTAGCCCATTAGAGAAAGAAATTCAAAAACCTAAACAGAATTCATCCAGTGGGCAAGGTCTCAGAAGTCCAGGTGCCACAGGTGCCACTGGTATACCACAAACAACCACAGGTATACCCCAGGGAGCTACAGGTGTACCTCACAAATCATCTAGTTCTAATCAACCTAATGGCAGTACTATCCCAAGTGGGGAACCAAGAGCCCCAAGAACTGCTCCACCCAAACCTCCAAGCAGAATCAGCCCTCCTAGGGTAACATCAACAAGGAGACAACAGTATCAGGCATTGAATATGCAGACATGTTTGGGAACATCTGATAATCAAGTGGCTTCCAGTGAAGCTTCAAGTCCATCTGGTCACTTTGGCAGTCCGGTGACTTCACCTACCTCTATCCCAGTACCACAGCAATTTTCAAAAATTCCTCAACCATCGTCAGGTCAGAAGACGCCCCCAGAAGTGCCAAAAAGGAAGGAAACTACAGAATTGAGCACCAAAAGAACTATTGCTACATATCAGCAAACATCTGGATCACAGACTAAAAATTTTAATGCAAATATTCCATCCCCCTCAAACAGACAGTTTTGTGTTAATCAAAAGAATGAAATGACATCATCATCACCAAGTTACATAAAGAAGCCAAACTTGCCCAATAATATGCAGAACAGTCTTGGTAGTGAAGTACAACAATCCCAAAGCAAGATGGAAAGGAATAACAATCAGAATTTGTGTACGTCAAAAATTGGTCTACCTCAGAGAAGTAGTGTCCCTCCAGCACCTCCACCTCGTCAACTGCAGCATAGCCAAACCAATCTTCCATGTCGCTTGCCACAGGCCAGACAAAGTGCCCATCCAGTAACAGATTTAGCCAACCAGTCTTCTACTTCTTCCCAGCATTCAAAACATACCAAGGTACAACAAAATGCACCCAGGACTCCCTCTGTCACTTTGGAAACATTGATCACTCTCAAGTTAGAAGATGAGATGATTGATTTGACGCAACCTCCATACAGCGATCAGGTAAACTTTTTTGCTTGGTAAAATCATCTTTTGTTTTGAAAAGAATTTTTTGTATTACTTAGAATTCAGAGGAATCAAAATTGATGTTTAAGTACTGTTAATAACCAATGTCAGCTTTTCCTTCTTTCATTAAGTTAAACTCTGTCCAACAGATCATACCTCCAAATTTTCTCTGGATACTTTCCATTTCTCACCATTATAGACCTTGAATGGTTATCCAGGATTTCATTTTTTTTCATAATTGTTTATATGACATTTTATAGCCCATAGTGCCAATCATTTACAACCTTACCTAATTTTTAGATGGTGAAATGTCCAATGTTCTTTTAAAGATGAGACATTTGTAATGACAATTCAACTTTGCTTTTCTCGCTAAAAATTTGATCACTACGTCATAGTTAAAGGTCAAATGAAGTTGGACATAACATGATATGTTATATTGTAAACTATTTATCAGCATGATGATACAGGTATATCACATTTTATTACCTTCCAGTCTGGATACTGTGGAATACCTGCAGCTTTAGTTCAGAGGTATGCTGAGGAACTGAAGAGAGAACTGAGTGAGATGGCCAGTGCTCTAGATCAACTCAGGGTGAAGCAGCTACAGCAGAAAGGAAGAGAAGGGGTAGGGAAAGTATGAAAACCGGTCTTGAAAGTTACAGGATGTCAGTTTATTGTAAATGTGTAACTTTTGTTTTCCTACAATTATAAAATATTATGAAAAGAATGAGAGAAAGAATGACTTTGGTATAAAGACTCATAAGATAAGATAAGATGAATATCTGATTATTATTATTATTATTATTATTATTATTATTATTATTATTATTATTATTATTATTATTATATATTTATCTATTTTCTGTTTGAAAACAAAAAAAAAAAATCTTATGCACTTCAAACATTTAACTTAATTATTGGCTTCCTTCCAGATTTCAAACAACTACCTGGTGGACTCCAGTTCTCGTTTGCAGCTGGATTTATGTGCATCATCATTACGTGGCTTCTTAGAGACTGCTGGTCTGCCCATGTATGCAGCATTGCTGGAAATTAATGGCTTTTGGTCCTTAGACTCCATAAAACATCTCACTGAGAAAGACTTGGTACAATTGGGTGTGCAAGATCCCCGACACTGCAAGAGACTTGTCAGAGCTTTTGAGGCCCTTCGCTTTAAATCAGAGTCATCTGTTCAGCACAATTCACCAAGACATTTGAAGAAGTCTGTCATCTTGGATAAAGTTTAGAACATTAATTCTAGGTGTTCCTAGAAGTACTCTGAGATGATCCTTATTACTCACTTGTATACACAGTTTATATTTACCCACTGAACAAAGTTTAAGATGGAGGAGAGTTAAATATCACAATTATTTGAACAAACTGCCAACAGAGACCCATTTCTCACATGCTGCACCAAATTTGGTGTGACACTTACCTAATCCATTTTGAAATTAGCTGGTTCTTTAACCTGGGCGCAGTTGTGTACTGATGACTTTCATTATCATGATGGAGATTGTTTACTGTAGCACTGCACAAAGAATTCATTTCTTTAAGTATGTTTACCACAGAAAATGCTGCACTAGATCTTTAGTTTATATTATTTGCACATATCAAATTGCTCAGAGTGCAGGGACTTAATGAAGAGGCAAAAAACAGATTGTAATTTTCAAAGTTTAAAGACAACTAGGTGATAGGTTGTGCGTATAACTTGGAGTCTAGCATATTGTGGCTGGAGCTCACGTAAGATACTTTATTGAAATGTCTGTAGGAGGAGTCCTTGGTTAGAGGTCTTCTAAATAAGTGTAAATGGGTGTAGGTTGGTATCGAATTGGAATATTTATCTTAACAGAAAAAAATGTCTCTGTTGCACTGATGAAGGGTAAAAATTCATCAGTTAGGTACTCATTTTGGTGCAAATGGCCTGTAGATGTTCTAAGTACTAGAGCCAATGACATTGCTGAAAAAGTTGCAGAGCATCATCCATTCTATAGAAATGCTGATGGAAGTAATATCTATATATTAAAAAATTTAATAAAAGGAATCTGATACATGCTGGGCATGAAATGGGTACTATGGGTTATATTTGTGAATGCATTTCAATTCTTTTCAATTTTGGTTTTAGTTCAATTTTGCTTCAGTGTCAGATTGCATTTAGCTATTTCTAAAAAAATCCTTTTTCATCAGCAAGCTGACATTGTTATTTATACTTGTTATTTTTTCACAAGGAATTTCATTTGCAATCAATTGATATGGTTTACACGTAACATGTCAGAAATGGAGATTGACAATTTTTGTGTCCAATTTGTAGTCTTATAAAGTACAGGGATTTGTTATTGTTGTTTCATGTTTTGTTACCTGAAGTTGTGGAAGTGTATATTCTGTTACATGTTCTGTTCTTGCTTATATAGCCTGTCAGTGTGAATGGTCGAGGGTACATATGGTCAGGTGTACAGATTTAAGTTATAAAAAGATAATAAAGAATATTGAATTTAAAAATTCAGTGTTGTTAAATGAACGTCATTTATATGAGCTTCAGAGTAAAAAGCTCACAGTTCAGAAATGGGATTAAATTTCATACTAGCACTGTCTACTGGAAGGGAGGGTAGCCATGTAAGTACTTGAAATATGGGTGATGATAAGTACTTGCCTTGTGATGTACTTCTACCAAACAATACCCAAACAGATAACTTCACAATGTTTCTTAATCGAAATAAATTTCAAATTGCTTCATTGTAAAAAAACATGGAATACAGAGGTCAATTCCTTTTTGATAAGACTCCAAAGAGAAAAGGATAGATAATGATGCTGTATAAGTGGACGTTTTTAAACAAGGAACAAATGCACTCACTCGCAACAATGGGTCTACCTGCCAGTTGCAAGCTGCACAATTACATACGATACATATAGTCATTGAAAAATACACATTTTCAAAACTTATAGTTGCAATTTAGATCCAGATAAAGCACAAGCATTTTTAAAAAAATATATTTTAAAAAAATCCCCATCAGAAAGGCAGGTAGACTTGGTAATTCATTCCAATTTCCCATATCCGGTACAGATTTAGATGATATAATCACCAAGTGCTGAAAGCATAAATACCCCAACTTTGTACCAATCACATCACCCAATTTTGTCATCCGGTTTTGTACATTTTTGATTCTATGAAGAACCATATGGGGAAAATGAGCAATGTATGTGATCTTCACAATTTAAAGGGGAAAATTCTAAGCATTTTTAAAGACACCATAGTACTGTGGGAAGGCAGAGCAGTGACATGGAGAGGTGGTGCATGAAACAAAAGAAGTTTCTCTTCATTAATGTTTCAAACAACTTTGACAAACTAAAAATGTTTATTTTGTCATCTTTTTGGTGCATTTGCTACCTTCTCTCTGTAACAAAGACCTCCTTCAGGATTGCCTACATCATGGCAATTAATTAAGTATAATAACCACTGTATTTTTTTAAAAGACGACAGAACTTAATTGCATTCAAACCTATGAACTTTTACTGGTCCCAAAACAAATGTGGTTGATATTTTTAATATCTTTTTCATTATCAGTCTCTTCCATCACCCTTTTATGTTAACATGTTACATATACCGAGTTGACCACTGCCAAAGAGAAAAGACGTCTCCACTTAAAAAAACTTGATTCTCTTATGTAATGACACAATACATCTTTTACTTTAAAAAGTACTAGTTAAATACCTACTTTGCAAATTCATGAAGTTCTGTTTACCCACCACACTGACAGTATGGAAGTGAACAGAAATGGATCAGCAATTTGTATCACACTTATGAATGATGATCAAAGGAAGTAAAGTGGTAAATGCTAACTTCTTTGTGACAAAGACAAACATCTAGCACATAACAGTACAAAGGTGACAGCGTATTACAATGAACTGGATCCATGACTAGTCCTAACAATCATGTCAGTCTTCAAGTTGTATAGTCATAGCTACCATATTAATAATGGGATAAAATGGAATGGTAGTCTGATACAATATACATACATTGTACTACCAATAAATAAATGCATTAATGCTACTGGCTCTTCATTAGATGTTCAACATCTACATGCCCCTATATTTACATCAATTCATGGGTTACTAGTACATCTTTTTGCTTCACCCATCGTTCAGTTAACATTATATTATCAAACTTCTTTATTTTCCTTTAGTGAAAGAAACTGATTTTTTAGCATTCAGCTCAAATATTATATGCTAGCATGAGCCTTCATTCTCTGGTGGAGATGGAAACAAGCCTTTAAAATGGAGGGTATGTGGGGATGTACTATTCAGCTGAATGCTAAAAGAAAAAATTAAACTAATTGTTTTGAAAACAATCATTCTAGTCCTTAGGAGCAACATCATCCATTTGTTTTTTAAGTTCTTTTTCCATCATTTTCCGTCTATCACAGAAGCCATATTGTCCTTTGCCAAATGAGTTAGGTCCAGCAGCAGTGGGTGTATCTCTGAAAGAATGAGTGTCAACAATATATAAGCAAGGTTCATAAACAGTTTTTAGTTTGTTGTGTGCACTATTCAATGAGAATTTCACTAAACACAACATAATATTTTCTACTTGTGCTGTTAGAACTTCTCAATGAACATGAATCTGCAAAGAAAGTTACAATGAATGATCATGAGCTATAACATGTCTTTTAGTCTATAGTTACTCACATAAAAATATTTTTCAATTATAGTTTTTTTTTAGGTGTGGGGGGTGGGGATGTATCTGTTTTGAAGCATTTCAAATGACAAACACAGGAAACTGATTTTCATGATGTTCTTAAAATGAATTTCTGTTACCGTCCTAGGTTACGCATCCTCATTTTGGCCTCAGGAGGCATCTCATCTTCATCACTCTGCAAATTTATAAAAGATAATATAAATTTAAAATATGAAAGACAAAATTAATGATATCCATCCTTTTATTTATATTACCAAACAACTCACTTTAAACAGCTCTGTCAATAGGATTGAGAACAATTGTAGCTTCTGCAATTTCTAGTGTTCTCTTTTATTCATTTATGATTTAATTCATATATTTATTAAAACAAATTTACTTGTTTATTTATTTATCTCGTATCTTCCTGGAGAATAGACATGTTACTAAACAAGACAACTGTCATTCAAGTCATCAGAGTGAAGAGAATCAGAATATAAGTACTTACCTCATCATCTTGGTTAAATGCTTGTGCTACTGCTTTACTTTTCTTGACTGTCTGCATAATAGGAGTCACACTGGCCTTTGGTTTCTAGAACAAGATTCCCAGGATAAGTAAATAATGTGCATGTAATGTAGTAGTTTATTTATTATAGTGTTTAGATGCCACTGCTCATAAGTCCAGCCATTTCAGTCTTTCTCAGTTAGTCATGCAGTTAAATGTCAATAAAATTAGTGACATACCTAATTTTTCTTACAATATCAATGTTAAAATGATGAAAATCTACGTAAAAAAAACTACACTTTATTTGTTAAGCATGCACTGAAATGATCCAATGCATATATACATGTACTTACAGCTGAAGTGCTTAGAGCCATTTTGATAGGAGGTACAGGTTTCTTTGTTAGACTGACACCTCCTAGATTCATTTTAATGGGGCCTGCTGGTTTGCACTGCTGCTGAGTATTCTGTTCTTTGGGAGTGTCACCATTTCCAAGACACTGCTGTGTCTGCAAATCTAGAGGTGTTTTAGTCCCAAACCCAATACTGATAGGCTTATTTGCATCCACTGCAACTTTTTTCTTTGGTGGAACATCTGATGCCTGATCTGAAGACCGCCTTTTTTCTGCCAGGTCTTTTGCTGCATGTGTTTTGTCTGCTTCTTCTTGCCCTGGCCAATGTGAAATACTGGGAGAGTTGAAACAACAAGTTAGGTGTAAAAATAACGAAATGAAAAAATGAAACTTGGACAACCAAAACTCTTTGAAACGATATGTTATTAATGGTAATGAGATGGCCCCTTAACCCCCCCCCCCCCCACGACCCCACGATGGTAGACTCTACCGTGATAATCACCCTTCAAAATACAAAAACATGTTCAATATTGACAGTGCTGTTGGCACAGCATTCATGCAAGCGTCAACCGGTCGGCGTCAACCACCCTCCCACCTATTCCCGCGCCTACTTTAACGTGTTTCCGATAGCAATGGGAATGCTGCGTTGATTATCGACAGATTTTGTAAATATGTATTAACTACACAACACAATGTGGTCATAAAAACCTGATTTCGGAAGCCGGGAAACATTTCCACTCATCGCCATTTTGACACAGCCTCGTCTTCAATCAATGTAGGCATCGCTGATTCCTTGGAACGGGGGGTGGGGGAGTGTGTCTTGTGTCCCTTTAGCCCGGAGATAGTATACCTTTTCCCTCCCCAAAAAACATTATAACAAGTAAAACGAGGCAAAATCATCCATATCCAAATGACCAGATGCCGAGTTTTGTTTTGAGGTCCGGCTGACGTGGATTTCATTCGAAACTTCGGGAGGTACATGTACTTATTCTTTCCCCCTTTCCTCACGCAACAACACCCGTTTATCAGTATTATTATTGTTGTTGTCATCATTGACAGCGTGTGGGGCTGGTGCAACAAAAAGTGTCACAAATGTATTTCGGTCTTATTCTTGAAAAGGAATGTCACATAAAGGTACATGTATCTTTTCAGAGATTGGGGCAGAAATTCCATTAGTCACCGAATGCTTTGCTCATCAGTTTTCCACAAATCTTGAGACTGATCTTTTGATTTAAAGTTTGCAGAAAAATAGGAAGTTGGTTTTTTCGTCAAATAAGGGCACCAGAGTTTCTGTTGATATCCAACATTTTTAGCTTTTTTACACATTCTTTTTTGTTTTTGAAAGAAAAATAACTTGACATACAGTACAGTTTATTCAATCACTAACAGTATTACATAAACATCACAAACATCTGTATCTTCTCATGATACATCAATACCACAACATACAGTGAAATAAGCTATCCAAAACAATTAATATAGGAAATATTAAAAATTATTCATTCCAAATCTTAATTGTTATTAATTTGTTTATGAAAAAAATCAGTAATTTTTCCTTCATGTTTATAGTTATGAAAGGGCCAACCATGGAAAGAAACTTCTATTAATGTGTATAATCAATGGAACATACAACAAGAAAGATGTTGCTTTATCAATATGCCATTTATAGATCTTTCAATATTTGTAACATTTAATTCAAATGTTTAGTATTTTGCCAAATGGTTAATAGCATCAACATATTACAATCCAATCTATACATATATTTATACAATTTAGATTGGCAGTTAAGCATTTTTATAAAAATCAAAATATATACAAAGAATGCACCTTTTAGCTTCTTAAACAAATACAAATGCTCGATTAACTTTTAAAGGTTGATATCAGTACTACCTATTTGTATCTAACCAATGATGTAAATCTTAAGTGTGGGCAGCATGCATTCTACCGGTATATCTTAGTATCACACCAGATATTTACATCATTTTATAACTGGTGTGTAAAAAAATTAATCAAACTGACCATTTAAAAAAAGTGAAGTGATATATCCTGTCCATGGTAACCTAAGATAAACAAAAATTCTGAATGTTGACAATTAACACTCCCTTTTCCCTACTTTCCACAAGCACCATAGTAGGAAACTGCCTAGCCATTTTCAGCACCTTCCTTTTACCTTATAAGCAAAGTCCATTTTACCTTTTTTTTTCCTTATAGCCTTAAGCTACACTCACATTCAGACAATTTAAGATAAAACACCACTGTAAAAGTCATGTCATAAATCTAGATAGTTTAGAGCAGGATCTGGAAATACTGAAAGAACTATTTGCTGACAAGATTTCCAGATAATAGTTACCTGTTACATTTAACCATTATCAAAATAAGCATTTCTGTTATGTGATTAAATGTTTTTACCTTTTCTTTTTTTGTGACCATCGCCCTTTTGCAATTTAACAGAGATAAATTTTACTAGCCATCCAGAAAAAAATTACTTCACTAAGAAACTACTGATGGGGAAAAATTATGTGTATGCACACATGTATAATAGTATTCAGACAGGTCTCTCAACACACAATATTGTGACACTTAATTCATTGCACTTAAATACTTATGCCAATTATACCCTGTGGTATCAAGTTTTCATATCTTAATGGTGCTTTGATGGGCAATTTTCTAACATTTAACAACAAAATCATTTAAATTACTACAGCTGTGTACAACTACAGATGGCAGGCATGAAACATGAAAAGGAGACTCAAAAAAGATGATAATAATGTATTTGGCATAACATAAAAGGGATAATCATGCATAGAAACATAACTGAGATGAAGCAAGATTCAAAGAATATGTTAACTAAGTTAGCTGTGAAAAATGCTTAAAGAATACTGGCCAAGTAATATACAATTTAAAATTCCCTTGAAACTGAAATTAAGTATCCTAACAGTATTAATATGAATTAAAAAAGAAAAAAAAAACTGAAAGGTTTATACTTCCACCATACCATGTCTTATATTCTTCCTACTTCTGTTTTATGCACCTAAAACAGAAAGCACATGGACAGAAAGCACAAAAATTCCAGCTATCAATCAAACTTTCCAATTTGGTGTGTCTTGGAAGTCCTGAAGCTCCCTCTTTTGTCAAGGCATTTTTCCAAGTTGTGAAAACTTTGCAAGGCCATGCTGTTGATAAGAAGGCATTCTTCATCTCAAGTTTCAACATCATATTGTGTAGAAGTATCCACCTGAATTTGAGGCAATGACACATCTTATGAGGACTCAGCACCCAAGTAAATATGAAGAGATTTCTTTAACTACTATTCCCAACAAGTCTTGATCACTTTGATCATGTTTTTCTGTCTGGACAGCGAGTCTGTACAATCTTCATCCTGGCTCCTCCTCTCCCTATGGTTCCGTAGCCCTCTGGGTCTTCACACACATGTACCACTATGGCAGGCTGCTCCGCTGACCCAGCATGGAGCTCATGGGTCTGACCTAAAAGATGTTCCATATTTGTTATTTAAAATCACCACAGAGGAGAACAAACATTTTATGTGACCAATTTACAGACACAACAACAGGAGTGGCAAGTCACTTGGTAACTTCTTAAACTTGACCAGTATGTTACTTTAATTACTTAATTACTTAAAAGAAAGCTGGTATGTGACCTATTCTTATATATATTAGGGTCTATAAAAGGTGATGGTTAACAGATGGTGGTTATTGTTAAAATCCTTTTTTTTTTGACTTTAAAACCATCTTCAATACCATCATCAAGTTTCCTACCTGGTGCAAGATTTGCAATTGCAGCAAGAAGATCATAGTTGACCACTGGCTCTGCCTCATAGCAGGACTCCCAACCCACTGGGGGAGAGGCAGGGGGAGAGATTAAAAACATTTTGTCAGGAAGTGGTGGTTGTAAATGCTGAACAGAAGAATCTTCTTTTGGAGGAGGCTGTAAAACCATAAAATGAAAGATGAGGATTAATATTTGAAAAAAAATACTATTATTTTGAAAATAATGAGATTGCACCTTTGGATGGTTTTAATAGATAACATTTCCACCTGTGACTTAGAAAAAAATGTCTTTATTACCTATTTCAAGAAAACTAGAAAATGGTAAAATAGTCAAACAATGACATGTATAAATCTGCTTTTCATTGGGATACTTTATTATTGTACATTGGTCAGTCATAAATGAGTGTGTTGTAACTCTCAACAGCCTATAAATGAGCTTGAGGTTACTATCTTCAAAAGCATTTTCATTTAATACTTGGCTAAATATGCTAATAACAACTATCACATTGGGTCTTATTCTGTAAAGGTCAAAGTGAGCTTTAATTGCCATTATTTGAGAAAAAATATATCTGAAAATCAATGATGGAACAAATGTTATCTGGTGCTTGAATGATGAATATTATACAGCACAATGTCTGTCTAGAAATTAATATAAAAAATAATCTAAAAAATATGAAGTGCTATCTAAATGAGTTCCATATAATGGATTCCATTTAATGTTATTATTCTTACCAAATTTTCAATAAATTGTATATTTGCTTGTTATCTGACTATGCAGAATATTTCATACCTGAGCAAAATAAACTTTCAGTTCTTTATCACAAATTTCCACCTGCAGTTGCTCTAATGTAATCCTAGCTGTTGCAGCAATTAATGGAGAGGAATAGTTCACACGAACACGACGGAAACTCTTCAAATACTGAAATGAGGCACTTTCCTCAAAATTCTTGAAAATGGCTTCAAATTTTTCCTAAAAGAAAAAAGGGAATTACTCAGGATTTATTTCTGTCTTAAAATCACCAACAAATCAAATGTCATTAAACTCATTTTACTATGAAACTGGTTTTGCGACACAGGTTGTGTGTGTGTGTGTGTCCCTGTGCATGCACATGCATATCCATAAGTGTGTAAGAGGGTAACAGCAGCTGTTCTCAAAATATGGACTTCTACAAAAAGTGAAAACATGAACAAAGAGATACATTTGGTAAAAAAAGTGAATATATCTCTTCCACTCTTGGGTAACATTCAAAACTCGAGATCAATCTGAACCATATTTATTTATACCCTGTTCACTCAATAAATGAACACTGACATCTTTGTTGTTTGAGGAAGAGTTAACCAGGATGGATATCAAAATCAGATTGCAGCTTCCATATTGATTCAAGAAGAGAAGAAATCGTCATTTACCAAAAGTAACTCGTTTTCATCCAATTTTCCTATTACATAAATCCAGTTGTTCAATGAAATTAAAGTCCAACCCTTAGTAAAAGCACAATATTGGACATTTTCATCTGATACACCACATTCATGAAAGTCCAGTCTATAAGTACATCTGACAAGAAGATCAGTAAACGTGTAACACACCTACAGTAGCTTCATTGTCATTAAGCCAACAGCACTTCTTTTTCACCACAGGTACATGTATACAGCCTATTACAGTGTAAGTACTAGTATGTGTGTGTATAATTAAAGGATTTGCTTAAGAACTTAGAGATAACTCTTACCAGACAAATGTCATTAGACAAACAGCAGATTTGCAACAATCTTATTTTCTAAATTTTCAACTCACTTAGTACTATATATCATTGATATGCCCATGGTAGATGATGTGGTTAAATTTAACTAGTTTCAATGGCTTGTACACCTGGGCACACAAAACAACTGGCAATGGATTACTTTAGTGTGCCACTCTTCTTATATCTCATCAATTTCAACATTTTGTTTAGAGTTAACATGATTCCCCTGATAGTCAAGAAAAAATAAAGATAAACATAACAGGAAAGGAAAATCACTTGAGACATGTGTGCCATGCAAACCTTCAAAAGCCACTCTATCTTTTAAAACAAGATTGCTTTCTTTAAAGCTGGCATTCACCTTTACATTATGTATGGTGTTCAGCAGTTAATTGTTCCAAAGTCAGTTCCAGTGTCTAGGGCACATATTCTTGCCAGCGCTGTGTAACCTGAACTTGGTCAGACTGAACACTACAAACAAGCTCATGTTGCTAAGCAAAATGATTATATCACAGGTGTTGGCTACAATTCCGGGAATATTTCTTGTAATCCTAGACTATATAGCAGCTTGATAGTACCACCTAAATGACGAACAAAAGCTTTCTGCAATGAACTTGATTGAATAATGCACACATAATCTCATTGAATTCATTCTTTCTTTTTTATGCATTTATTTTATTTTATTTTATTTTGTTTATCTATTTACTCTCTCTCTCTCTCTCTCTCTCTCTCTCTCTCTCTCTATATATATATATATATATATATATTCTATATGCTTATTCTTCTTTCCTCCTTAATTCTATTCATGGAGGTGACTGCCATACCCCAGAGACAAATAATTATAACAAAACAAAATATTTGTGTAAAACACATATGCAATGCTTACTACTTAACTAAAGGCAGTTCGCCATCAGAACAATTCAAAACACTGCACCATCATTAAAAGTGATAATAGACACTCTAAATTTTCAATAATTTCGCAATTTCTTTACTCAAGCAAAAGATACACATACTTTTTTCTGTTGTTAACATGACATGAAAAGCCAGTTCTCAATCTGGGTTATGATCATGAATGCAGTTTACTTCATAAGATACCTGTTGCAACAAAATTCCTGTAACAGCTGCTGACATTTGGGACATAGCTATGTGCTCCTGTTTTTAATCTTCTTGAAAGCAATGAATACATAATTACATAACATTTTAGAATCCTATTTTAATTTTTTTTATGAAGGGGATGCATGCTTACAGGAAGCTCAAGGAAAGACATATACTAGTAGTTTAGTAACAGAATTGGAAAACATGTACATTTAGAGCAATTGAGAATTGGCCACAGTCCCAAAAATGCATCATACTGAAAAATTATTGCATTAAACAAGTGCTCATATCTGATGTATGTCCAGGTGTTGTTGCATAATTAAATATAGGTAATTATTTGCTACTATATATTTTGACAGAAAAATTAGCCCTCCCTTTTTTTCATATTTAAATAAAAAATATACATAATAGATGTATTAAAATGGAAGTTTCCTGTCAGATTGCCATTTTTTAATCTTTTTACATGAACTTGTAATAAAATATGAATACCAAAAAGAGTGTTACAATTCATAAGCTTTTTATTATTACATACTTATTTCTTTCACCATAGCACCAAATAAGTAAAGAAGGATTTTTTCTGCAAAGTTGTAATTATGGGAAATGAAAGCACATATATATATATATATATATATATATATATATATATATATATATATATATATATAAGCTTACACTTAGCAGTTTCTTTGCAACAGTGTTTTGTATTATGCTGTGTATTTTTGTTTGATTCCCACAGCCTATTTCTCTGACATCTTTGCATAGAAGTCTGTTTCACTTCAGCTGTCCTCCCTTGAGGGAGCGCTGATGAATTATGCTAAGAATCTATGTACAGTGTTCTGTGGCAATTTGAAAATTATAATCTAATGTTCTTATTTTCATCAATCAAAATGACAACATCCTTATGCAACAATGGCCCACATGTCTGCGTTGTTACATCTCCACAAAGGAGAAAGTTTTCTTCTTTTACATTTTATTCAGTAAAAAATAAATAAATAAATACAATATAAAATATTTGAAAACTTAGAAATTACACTGCAACACTCTGCAACACTCTTAGTTTATCTGGAGAAAAATATTGTAGCGATCAATTATTCATTTCAGTAGACTCTCAAATCATGGATTATTTGATAGATCAAGCCACAAATAAATACACACACGCCTGGCCAATCTCTCATTCCCCAGCACGCTTGATGGTTACCTTTTCGTCTTTATTATCAAATATCCTCTCATCCAGATTTGCCACAATCAAGGCTGTGGGCAGGTCTGATAAATCTGTGTCAGTTTCTTGCTCCATTTCCTCGGTTTCTACGCCACCTGACTCATCCAAGCTCACGTTGTTCAATCTGTGAGCCACAGCTTCTTCATCATAATCATCAGACGAAGCCATTTTCCTCTTCATTTCTAGATTTATGATAGCTACTGATAGACACCTCTTCGACGAGAACAGCACACTACATTACTTTTTGTGCGGCTTCAACTTCCAGTAAAAAACAATCGGTGATATTCACAAAATCTTGTGGAAAACACAAAAAGTTGTGTTGTTTTTCGACGTGAACGTCAACTTGCTTGTGAATGACGTCATCACTGTGTGCGTACTCCATATCGGGCAACGCGGTGTTTCCCCAAATGACGTAGACTAACTATCAAGGGATTCCCTTCAAGAAAATATTTTTTAAGTGATTCGTTCAACGGGTGGTTTCGGGGAAGACAAGTTCTTACTTTGACCAAGGAAGTAACTACTTTTCTTGGTTAAAAAAGAACGATATAAAGGGGAAATCATAAAAAAATCGTCCCCAGGACTTCAATAACGTTGTGACCCATTAGAGCCTGCGTCATCAAAACAAACGGCAGCCATACTGGAGGGAGACCGGAATCGTCTGCTGCGCATGAACAAGCCATGTCTGTAGTTCAGTTTGCGTTTTCTGTATTTTCTTTTATATTTAACCGAGCAATATGATGAATTACTGCAGGTTATTTGATCTAGAGAAGATAACTAACTTTATAAGCGTTCACAGACTGCCTGCAGTGGTAATAATCCATGGTGAAGGAACTAAAACCATAAACGGAGGAGAGACGGCGAGGTGGCTTTGAATCAAGACTCTTCGGAAAAGTAAAGGATAAAACTAATTTATTTTATAGCAAAGAATAAAGAGCCAGCTGTGCAGATTTTACCATAAAAGAAAACAGTAGAAAACCAAAGACCTAGGTGTGTACGTTTGGGGCGCACGTACATTGCATATATATTTAAAGTAGTGCCAAAAAAGTTTGGGTGTAGAGTGTGTTAATTTGTTAAAACGTGTGGGAATACCCAGGCAGGGTTTTGACTTTTATAATGAAGACTCACCTATTGCCTTGGGTGTAATTTGTTATCAGTTATGGTGCTCTCTAGATTTTATCGGCTGTCACCTACCTCTTTAATACCTGGTTAGCATTATTGCCAATTAGTGTCAAGGCTATATTTGTACTGTACACAGCTGAGCTGGGCCAATTAAATCAATTACCTGTATGAAGTGTATTTGGAAGTTAGTGGCTTAATTTTCGATTTGGTGTAGTGATAAGAGTAATTTTATTTTGCAAGTAAATTCTACCTCAGGTGTAATTGACATGTAACCTCATGAAATTTGCACTTTCCTCTGTAAAAATGTTAAAATTCTGCTCCTTTCAACTGTAATGTTGTAAGTTACAATATGAATAAAAATCACTATTGTTATCTTTCTATTTATTTACATTTAGGAAATTGATCAGGCATTTCCCACCAAGCCACACTGATTGGGTGCAAGTAAATTATCAAAATAAATAAATAAATAAATAAAATTAAAAAATAAAAATAAAAAAACGGAAGCTTTTGATGACAGGTACAAAAGGCAGCTACATGTGTAGATGACACACAAGGTAGTAGCAGCAAAAATATTCCTGGATCTTTGTGGTCAGCTGAGGAGACAGGATCTGAACATCAGGAGAGTGAAATCCAGTGTACGTCAGGAGTTATTTAATTGAAGCGACACTCAGAACTCAGCATTTCATGTTCACTTTTATTCACACAAAATGTGCACTTTTCCTATATGTTAGAGCAAATGGTTGCAGAAATAAAGCTCAATTCATGAACTGAATTATTGTTATTTTACATAAGACATCATAAATACATAAGTGTGAAAAATGCCTTGCTTCTGTGAATGACTGAACTAATAATAAAATGCTAACAATGTTGCTTATATGAATGGTTGCATTCATGGTGAATATTAAACTCTCTCAAACAACAGTCTTGTTACTAGTACATGTACTTTCTAATGAACCAATATGAAGTACAAGAATGCTGAAATAATTTCTGACAGCTTCACGATGTAGAGATAAGTCATAACTGACAGCAATATTGCATGTCATAAGACAATCCTGCATACATTCTTCCTTGAGTCCACAAGGGTTTATCCTGATGATCAGCTGAAATTTCTCCTTATATCTATCCTTTATGTAAAAAGTTGCTTCTATGCATGGACATGCATGTCCATGTTCTATGTAAGGTTAAACTTATGATTACACATTAAACTCTCTCAAACTATAACTGTTATTACCCAATGAACAAGAAAAATGAAGTACAAGATAACTGTACTATCTTCTGACAACACGATGTTGGATAAGTAGCATTTGGTAGGATTTCACGTTTTAGATTGTCTTGAGTTCATATTGGTCGATCCCGCTAATCAGCTGAATCTTCAGCTTGTATATATCCTTTTCCCTTCGGTGTACCTGATCGCGATATGAAGTTTATTTTATTTTATTTGGTTCACCTATATTACCGCTACTATTCCCCGTCGTTCATTCCCTCCAGCATGGCCGCGGGACTAGTGTTACGGAGCAAATAAGACGTCACTGTAATGGGTGTAATGTAATGAAGCTGAGGTGGCATATCATATGCACATCTAGCGTTTTACACTTTTACGCCATAATTTTTTCTAAACATCGTTTACCTGGGCACATATATATTTTTATATATTTATATATTTATGCATTGCTTTTCCATAAGCTCATAGAAAATCATGTATACAAGTGTACGTATAGTTACTACATGAATAATTAATCAGTGGAACTAGATTAAAAATAAAACTCCCTTAATCTGTAAACTCTGTAAAATAAAATAAAATAAAATAAAATAAAATAGTTTGACTCATTCTGGATTAAAATTTAGCACTTGGGATATCCTTTTTTTTTTTTTCATATCTTATGTCTTGATGGGGCTGTTTATATGACAAGTATTTAATTTTGAAACAGTCTAATTATTCTTAGAAAACAAAACGTTAAGCGAATGAACAGTCCTTGACTAACTTCACTAAGATACACACCTTTCAAAAAGCACTGGCTGTGGATCGTCTTGTTTGCTGCCTAGACACCTGGTGGTTGCAGGTGGGAATATACTTCACAGGCATGTGGTCATTTTGTATTAGTAACCCTTTCATTATAATATCAAATTATTTTTAATGCAATAATTATTTATTATATAAGTTATAATATTTTATCTAATTATGTTTAATTGATATTATTGGTAATAATGAGTATTTTTTATTAAAATCTGCCCACTAATGCCTGTGAAATCCGGGCACTCTGTTTCCAACAACATTCAAAATGGCGGGGTTAGAGGGATGCAGCACGGTAAACATACAGTAGCTTTTTTCGACGGATACTCAAATATAGCACCCTAAACGTGTAAATGACATATTAAAACTAATAATTCAATAACATTCAATAGCACCATGGACGAAAGACATTGGTGGATTGCAGGGAAGATCCAGGAAAGCTTCCACATTGGGGGGTTTGACAACCCGACTTTGTTGGAAGACTTTCTGATCGTAGAGGAGACTATGGAGATAATAAACGATTTCCTTCATGCGGGTGGTCTATGCAGGCTGTTTTTCTACAGTGACAAACCAGCATCAGGGACGCTTTCCACACGAGAGTTACACTTGACAAGAAGTCTGGCGACACTGAAAGATACGGATTTAGATGGTGTAAATATTTTGTACTTTCTTCGGTACAACGTAGAACAAGAGGTCGACGCATCCCGCATCGAGAAAGATGTTTACTGTGGAGAACTGAAGACTGGAACTTTAGAGTGCTTAAATGCTCTCCTGACTGATATTTATATTCCA